AGCTCTATGACTAGGATGCAAAAAAATGCAGGAGTAAAATACTGATTTCAATTATTAGTTACTGTCACAATTTACTGCATTTTAAAGTCCAAAGTAAACTTCAGATTTGATGCAAATCTACACGTACAACCAAATGCTTATAGCCTTTAAATATATACTCCATACATGTACGACAGCATAAATGTGCGGAGTAAAAACTACTATATAAAACATAATTTCCCTCTAAAACTAATAAGTTGCCTACTACTGTACATACATTATCAGTAAAAATGTGGTGAGCGTCCCAAATTCATTTATGCTGCAATAATATAGAACATTTTTAGCATTTTTAACATTAATTAATCTCTCATTCAAAATAAGTACATCCTCACAACGGAATGCAATTTTGGATGCAGGTTTGGGCTTTGGAAGTATGTTGTTCTGTTTATTCCTTTTTCATAACAACAGGGGTCTGTTTCAGAAAGGAGGTTAAGTGAAAACTCAGAGTATTTTAACCCTGAAATGAGAGAAACTCTGGGTTTTCCGTTTCAAAATGGCAGGCTTGTCAAACTCGAGAAAGCAGGGTAAGTCAAGCCTGTTTCTGAAAGAGAGGTAACTTTAACTCAGAGTCAGTTACTGTGGTAACTTACTCTGTGAATCTAACCTGGTCAGGAGCAGGTTTTATTCTCTAAACTCAGAGTTTCTGTCGGTCTCCTCCCCTTTTTTAAAGACAAAGCGGTATTTTTCGCCTTAGCCGTACGTTTCCACCCACCTGTTTTAGAGCTCATTTTGGAGATGAGGATACAAACGATTGATGGAAACGTCATGATGCACATAACTTTTGGAAATATGCATAAAAAACATGTGCATAACTGAGTAGGATAAACTTTTATTTGATAAGAAAAGATGCGCCTAAACTACGAAGGAAATGCTTAACAAATTACAGTCTGTGCATTAAAAAAGGTTTGTTATAAGAGATCATATGATGATGAGAATGTGTGTGAATGGACAAACCAGCAGGCTGAGCACACTGCAGAACATCTAAGATGTTGTTTTGGTCAATCTAAAATGCCTTAACTGTTTCAGTATTAGTGAATATTATTAATTACCTCAGAGCGTTTGGAGCGTGTGAAGAGTGTCCATGCCACATGGCTTCAAACGCCCCCATGTGTTAATTGTGTCAACATATTCTTGAGGCGCAACTACATTTAATAAATAAAAATAAATAAATAAATACTTGACACAGCTTCTTCTACCACAGTAAATTCTGCTTTTACTGTTGATAGTTGGCACATTTATGTAATATATTTGGAAGGAAACATATATATTGCCTACCTTTTAGTCACACACAGAACAAAGTCACGTACGTGAATGGCTTGTCCTTTTTTCTTAAATAATTACCTTAAATTAAAGGCAGACACACACTAGTGCACTTTTAAGTTTATTAAAACTGATAAACGTGTAAAAAAGTTTAGAAAAATGTTTGTCACACATTACATGACTTTTTTATCATAGTTAAATATTTAAATATTTTAAATGTAAAATTACGCATTAACTTGAGCTGCTGTTTTCTCACGCTAACTGTCTCTGTTTCACTGATAGTTGCTGCTTTTTAAATATTTACGCTCATATTTGCTATAACTTTGCTTGATTACATCAAGTTCAGCTGGAGAAAGACATGGTGATCTCTTTTTTTAAGATATTGTCATGGCCACTCGTAATATCTGCGCTCTATTGATAATGCCTTTTTATAGTCACAGTTTGCGCGCTTAACTCTGAGTTGGTCTACTCAAAGTTGATTGACCCGACTCAGATCAGCTATTCTGAAACCGAAAACTCTGAGTTTTTAATCTCTTGGTAAATCAACTCAGAGTTCAAGTTTAAACTCTGAGTTGTTTGAACATCCTTACTGAAACAGGCCCCAGGTCTCAATATGGCCAACCTGTGTACCAAACAATCAACGCAAATAAACTCACGTCACATTTCCATGCTGAGTATTCAGAGTATGCGCAATAAAATACACAGGGCATAGCCAATCTGACAATATTGAGAAGTGAAGCCAAAAAAGTTATACGCCCCCTGGTGGCTGGTTGCATTATAGGTCATAAACCTGTCTTTCAGTGGCGTAGTGGAGCATATATGCATTAAGCATGCATGATTTTGCCAAGTACGATGCGATCCTGGATTAACATCTGAAGCTGTCTCTCATTTCAGAGGCTGCATTTTCCGAAGGATGAAGACTTCAAAGGTGACTCCCTCGAAGTCCACAAATTACATTTAAACTAGAGTTTTCTTTTAAAAAGTGTCTTGATGTTATCGGCGTGCAATAAATCTCGGGACGTTCGAGGCTGCAAAGGATGCACCGGATGTGTCCTTCATTACCTGGGAAATGAAGGGCGCATTTAGAGGCTGCGTTTAAAGAAGCCTTCGAAATTTTTTTATAAATGAGACAGCCTTCGTTACGCCTTCGATGACGCAGCGCACTTCGAATGCATCCTTCGGTGCAGCCTCTGGAATGAGACACAGCTTATTTTGATCATTGAACATCATTTTTCTTTGAAAATGTAAACTATTACTATTCCCTACCTTTTAACCTAACCATAACTGTAAATTATTCACAAAATCAGAGGGAATAATAGTTGGAAAACAATCATGTAGAAGAGCAAAAATCTAACCATAAGCCTAAACTTAACATAAACTGTAAACATATCGCTTAATTCTAATTGGCTGATTGGAATGTTGCTCCAGGATCAACATAGATGTTAATTCAGGAGCATGTCCTACTTGGTGAAATTAGGTTGGTGCATTTAATTATGCGACGTATCTTCATCAGTACACATTGCCTATTTTAATTGCTTTCAAGAGTTCACACTTAGCTGATGATTGAAAATGAAGTTTGTTTGGCATGCTGTCCTGGGAGAGAGCCCTGAGCTCAGAATATCCTCGAGCTTGAGGCTCCCTACTGTTTGAAGGGCGAAAGGAGAGTTTGAGCTCAGGTAGGTCTCGGGAACTCTCCTGCTTGTGAACGTGCTGAGATTAATCTGGCCAAGAGTTGTCTTAAGATGCTATTTTGGAGTAGTTAATTTACTTATGGTGCATATCTTTGGACAGTGGGAGCAAATCGGAAAACCCGGGGAAAATCCACGCAAACACAGGGAGAACATGCAAACTCTGCACAGAAACACCAACTGGCTCGGTGAGGGGCTGAACCAGCTGCTTTCTTGCTGTGCAGCAACAGTGGGCCGCCATGCCGCCCTATCAGAAAAGGGGAGGAGTAAGGGTGGAGGGAGGGATTCTTCAAGACGAAGATGACTGGAGTGGAAAGCTGTGTGTCAGTATTCATCTGATTGGTGCAATATACGGAACTGATGAAGCACCAGCAGCGTTCAATCATAAGCATGTGATCTTCTCGAAATGAGTTTAAAAATAAATCCCTCTTCTGATGTGCACCATTCAGTAGTGTTCTGGGAAAATTCTCCACCTTATCACACATAATTCAGTTAAGGTGAAGCCTTTTAATAACTGTTTTCTAGTGGCAATGAGCAAACTGTGTGCTAGGTATGTGCCTGTGTCTTGTGTTTCAATTGCCTGCTGCACCACATGCTTTTGTTTAGGGCCTCTGACTGCTTGAAGTAGAAAAAACAAATATCGAGTTATTGAAATGATGTCAAGGTACCCATAATCCTCGTCCAGGCCGTATCCTGAGCTGAGGCTGCGGCGGTCATGGAGGAGCAAAGTGCAGGAGACTGATTCCTGAAAAACCATAGTTACATACGAGTCTCCACACTGATCCCGTAAGCCAGTATGATCAACCGCTGGTGACCTACTCAGACATGCAGCTTCTCCATGATGGGCGTCCAGTCTTCTCCAGCCTCTGGCGCAACTCCGCACAGGAAGTTTGGCCAGAGGAGAAATGGTCATACCCAACTGAGCCTGGTTTCTCTCAAGGTTTTTTTTTCTTCACTTTCGTCAATTGGTGAAGTTTGTTCCTTGCCTCTGTCGCCACTGGCTTGTTTGGTTTTGGGACTTGTGGAGCTGCACATCGATGGATTTGCTCTTCAGTGTTTAGACTTTCAGCAGTGAAAACTAAACCACACTGAACTGAACTAAACTACAACTCTGAAAACTGGACTGACGCGGTTTCAGTTAACTAGAACTTCTATGTTAAGCTGCACTGGCTATTTAAAAACACTCTGTCATTGTATTTTTTGACTGATTCAGCATGTTGGCCATCGGTGAAAGAGAATGCTTTGATTGGTTGTTCAGCAATTAATCAGAGCATGACAAAAAAAAGCTTAAGAGACTGAACTAAGCAAAGAACACAAGTCAAGAGGAAACATAGAGAACCACAAGTTCTGGATTACCTTTTTGGAATGATAATACTGATACTGCCACCTGCTGGTATGCAAATGTAACCCCGCTGGTCCTACACCACCCAACTTGCTCCGAGCTGGTATCGAACCGGCATGGGAGTCAATTGCTCTAACAAGGAGGCTAAAGACCATGGCCTCTAGCGTCTGTCGCTAGAGCACCTTTAGAGGTCAGAGGAGTGAGGTTTTTACCTGCACAGCACTTACTAGCTGGCCCCCGTTACACTCACCCCCCTAAACCTCACTCCCATCCGGGTCACGGCACCAATGTAATCCCGCCGGTCCTACACCGCCCAACCTGCTCCGAGCTGGGATCGAACCGGCGACCTTCCACATGGGAGTCAATTGCTCTAACAAGGAGGCTAAAGACCATGGCCTCTAGCATCTGTCGCTAAAGCACCTTTAGAGGTCAGAGGAGTGAGGAGTACCTGCACAGCACTTACTAGCTGGCCCCCGTTACACAAAGCCTCCTATCGCACAGGTGCAGGACGTACAATCTCATTTCAGTTGGGTGTTGTTCATTTGGAGCTTTTTGGTCCAGATGGGACCAGATGCAGTTAACTTCAGGTGACAACACAATCAGATTTTGTCACCACTTATTTTCTGATGCCAGCTTGGGTTGTAATAGGCTTAAAATAATTAACGTTAAAGATGCTTCATGTAATTTAATAGACAAAAATAGCAGAATATAAAGATTAAATTTGGCCTGCAGTTTCTAAAATATATATACTTAGTACAGTGCTAAATTTGTGAATTGCAAGGTCCCGGAACAGTTTGGGGTAACAGATCCGGCAGGTTACCCGTGGATGGAGAGGTGTCGTGGATGAAAGTAAAGATCGGGGAAATGGGAGGGTGTTGCAGACTAAAATGAAGAGGGTTAGGGAGTTGTGGAAGAAAGGACACGTGGAAGAAAGTGAATGTGAACAGCGGATGAGGGAGGAGGGCTGTTGAGAAGGGGCATCGTAAAATGAGGTGGCGTACCAGATTTCAGAGGTAAAGGATCTGGAGTGTTCCAGAACAAATTAAGCTCTGACTAAGTACAGACAAGCTTTTCGATTGTGGGTTAAATGTATTCTCCACATAGTCAAGCAGAAGTTGTTGCATTAGTATATGCAAACACAACAGGCCCATATTGGGGTGAATTAAATATCCACGACTAGTCCTACAACAAGTCATATTATAATACAGGGCATTTATTCTTCACATTAAAGGACTGCTAATTTAACTTTTTTACAAGATGGAAAATAAGTCTGTTGTGTGTCCAGAAAGTATTAAGTTTCATCTTAAAATACTCATCAGAGCATTTATTAAACCCTGTTGAAAATGTCAACTCGTGGGTTAGAGGGAATTTTAGCTGTTTTGTGCCTGTTCCTTTAAATGCAAATGAGCTGGTTCTCCCTGGGAAAATCAGGATATTCAGGGTTGGATGTCCGATAAATGCAGCAAAATGACAGACAACCAAAGACCCATTATATAGACATTAGTTAATACGCAAGGAGTTAGATGGTCATACTTCAAAAGTGGCTTCCCTGAGTTATTTTGGCTTCACTTCTCAAACTTAAAGAAAGTATACTTCATCCATCTTTTTTGTCAATAGACATGAACCATATGATCAAAGATCAAATGTGAATATAGAATTTGCCCAAATAAAGAATACTTTGGACTTTAATATATGAACCAGTTATTCAATAGAAAAGGTAACCTTAGCTTAAGTTCTGTACCATTTGCTCACAGAGCAAATCTACAGCACAAATGCAAGTGCTTTGGTAACACTACTGGACATTAGTATTTGACTCGATGAAGAATGCCATTTTTGAAGCACCTCTCGGGCAGTATGCTCGGGCATTCCTTTTAAATGGGGAAACATCAAGTTCTCCAAAATTGCTTGCAAAGCTTACGATTAAATCTCATGTTAGGAATCACCAATAAAATTAAACAAAACTCTCTCTTTAGTTTCATTTCTAAACATCAAAATCACACAATCTGCAGTAACTCACGCTCCAAGCCCCTCCCCCAGAGTAATGTCAGTCTATATTGATCGATGATTGGCTCCTGTACTAGTAGGCAGGGTTGTATTCGCCATATTGTCAGTTACACTTTTCCCCATTAAAAAGGATACGAGTGGCATGTCTTGTGTATTCGATGTCACTGCATCTCATTTGCCTTTTTTTAGACGCAAAGACGCGTTCAGTGTGAATGAGCCTTTACAATGGCCAAAATCATGACATCCCATGATGCTGCACAAAGTGGGAACCGCATTATCTGTGTTGAAATCAGTGCCTTAAATCTCATTTTCATCTTGTACAATCTACAAGAGATATTGAGGAAGGAGACGCAAACTGTTTTGAGCATCTTCAAGTATGTTGTAATGAAAGGTTGATGAATGGAACTCAAAGCAAACGAAACACTTTCAGCAGAAAACAAGAACATGGCTAGTATAGAGGACTATTGGGAAACTGAACCCCCAGATCAGTCAACAGTTTCAACCTTCATACTTCGGTTTTTTTCTTTATCCTTAGTCGTTCTGATTTATCTCGAGGTACGCTCTTCTCCCCATCCTTTTCTAATAGCGTCACACTTTCTTCCTCTTCTTTTTTTTCTTCATACGATGAATTGGGGGAATATGGACCATTTAAAAAGATTGTGAGGGGTGGAGGGCTACAAGAGGGGCTGGGGGAGACCTGAGGGGCTACATCAAGGGGAGAGGGAGCCTGCGGGACAGCCTTAGGGGTGTTTAGGATGTGGGATTTGTTTTTGGCAGATTTGATGATGTTTATAGGGTAGGTTGGCCTTAGTTCTCCAGGGTATTCCCGAATCTCGCCAGGCTCCAGGGGCTCTGGGCCGCAGGGGTCGTGCTCACTGCATGATAGTCGCCCATCCAGTTTGGATATGAAAAGCATGCCGTCTCGATGTTCGACACAATAGGAGCTAGGGCACATCTCACAGAAGGAAGCAGCTTCCTGTCCACACAAGTCACACTGATGCCAAGGACACTCCCAACGTCCTGAAATACAAGACACGTTATTCATTGATAATCTTTCCTGTCATAAAGCGGATACACTGATTCAGTGAACGTTGGTTAGTAATGTGATAGTGATGTATTCTGGATTCTGAAGGGTTTCGCACTTCTAGTTTGGTACTACTGGTGTATTTAATCTGAAGTATAAAGAAAATGGCAACTTTAGACCAGGTTTGCTTAGACCAGGGGTGTCCAAACTTTTTGGGCCTAGGGCCAGATGCAAAAAAAAAAAAAAAAAAAAAAAAAAAAAAAAAAAAAAAAGTTGTCCCGGGACATATATTACATACATTACACAGACACGCACATATATACATATACATATATATATATATATATATATATATATATATATATATATATATATATATGTGTGTGTGTGTGTGTGTTATGGAATTATTTTAATTTGTTATTTTAATTCATCGTCCAACTGTGTTTCTAGAAAGACTTTCGTTTTTAAAATCTTGAATCTTCTCTGGGCAAATTACACTTGCAACACTCATCCTTTATATATTCTCCTTCAGTGAAAGGTTTCCTGTGCTGTGCGATTAGCTGGGCTACATCATAACTAGCCAGAGTAGAATTTTCTTGCACTTTATTAGCACAAGAAAAAAAACTGCTGTTGATGAGCTGATGAGCCAGCTGCTATTTGTTTTACTTTTTGATTTCGTTCGGCACCAGTGTAAGAGCTGAAGGCCTGATGTTTTATTTTATAATGTCTTTTAATATTATATTCCTTCATTAATGCAACTGATTCCTGGCAAATTAAACAGACACATATTCCACTGACCTCTGTGAAGAAATATTCTTTGCCCCATCGTGACTGAAATTTTATGCACTCACTGTTCATTTTCCTTTTTCTTGCTTGTGCCATGGCTGGCCAAAACGTGATTATTATGTTTCTTTCAGTTTGTTCGGTTTGTTTTACTTCATAACTGGAACTGCTGCCTAATTGAAGGCATGTACTAGCGACACCCGGTGGTTATTTATAGAATTACGTTAATTTTTGTATAGCGGGCCAGATTCTATTAATATCCATAAAAAGCCTCGCGGGCCGCCACAAAACTGAGTTTGGCCGTAGTTTGGACACCCCTGGCTTAGACCTAAAGTATAGTTCATCTTTTATGTGTAAACGAGGGTCAGTGTACAGTGTGACTGAATTTTGTCATTAGATTAGTATGCATGATTTGTAGGTATGCCATTGGATTTTTGTGGAATGTGCACATTTTATTTGCTTTTTGCAGTCTTTTCGTTGTTGTTGTAAATAGTTTATCAACAAGGTGCCAACCGTACCTTGGCGATGTCGTTTCATAAGCAGCTGAAAAAGAACTACATAAAAAGAACAGACTGGAATGCATGCAAGCTACAGCAACAGTGGATTGCCACAAAGACGAGAGCAAAAAAAGTTAGAAAGTAACCTCAGTTGTGCAACTCTGGGATGAGAGAATACAAAGATGTTTTTGTGGGTTATCTCTTGTGTGGAGAAATTGAGCAAACACTGACCCCTGCTGGCCAGGAAAAGAACACACATGCTTGGAATATCTAATTTCAAATGAGAAAAAATGTAAAGGTCCACTGAGGACCTAAGCTAGAATATGTGTAATAAAAAATAATAATAAAGCGTAGATTTCGCTCAAGTGGTCACAGACATTTTAATACATAATCTGGGGTGCGTTTCCCAATCAACGACATATTTCGCGGCTAAACTACAATGCATTGTTTGGCAAAAGAACGATGTAGTGACGAGTATTTCCCAAAACCCAACGTAAAATGTCCATAATGATGCTCTAAACGGTGTGGAGTAAAAACTTCTTTACAGAAGAACCCCATAATTTATTTGTGCAAATTATATTGTTTTACACTCACATTTATTTAAAAAAAGGTCTGATATTAGTTTTGGTAAAACATGCACTTACTTTTCATATTAAGTGAAATATATGTAAATGGCACATATAGAGATTATGTTTCCTTTACAAATATTATTGAGAATATTCCATAGTCTATTCTAAATGAACATAAAATAAGGCCCTTAAAAGGCATTAAAAAGTCTTAATTGCATTTTTACAAGGTCTTTAATTTTGCTCAAGCGTTGTCTAAAGTGACTCCAAAAAAGCATAAATATATTTACTTTCCTCCTAATATTAACAACGGCGTGCTCGATCCACACGATTGGTTCGGTCCAGGGCATGTCTGGCCAAGCTCCTCCATCCAGGTGATTTCCCATAACTTTCGTCAAATGTGGGAATGTGATTTGACGCTCTTCACATGCAACGAAAAAGTAAGTTTGTCTACTCCTGGATGGAGAAAGACGAGTTTAAGATCATTTATTCTTTCAAGCTTTGTTTCTTCCGAGCTTATTTGAGTTCTGTTGCATGATTGTGCTCTGTTGATTTATTTAACTACAACTGTTTATTAACAACTGTTTATTAAGTTAAAGGTTTGAAACATGTAGTCTGAACCAGGGTTTAAACGATTTTGAACTATTCATAAGAAAGTTAATTAAAACCATGAGTACACGCATGGTACAATGAGTGCAGTTAGTCCAGCACACAACATTGTTCTGGATGTTTGGTAAGTTTTGTCTCAAAACCTACATAAAATAAATACATAAAATGAAAGCTTACCAATCAGGGGTGCGTTTCCGAAAACTATGTTTAGGCAACTAAAGTCGTAAGTTGTGTCATTACAAACATAGTTTGTTGATTCATTTCTTAAATCTATCGTAACAACGAACATTCGCAAACTGCGTTGCAAACTTGTATGCTTGCAACTACACCTCTGGAGCTGTAGTTAGAAACAGAGTTCCTGGCTGTGTACAATCCCAGTTATCCCCCTATGCCCTATTTGTTTACAAACATTCTTACTTTTAAACTTAGAATTATTTTTTTTAAAAGCATTAAAGTCACCTCTCTTAGGTGTAATTTGGTTTTAAAGCATTTTTAAAGTTCAGTTTTAGTGATCCTCATGTTTACAATTGTGCTCCCTTCACAGTTCACTTTGAAAACCATATTGTCTTTTTGAACACAGCTGTGGCTATTATGTAAAAGCCGAATTTATTACGTTTCCAAAGTGTGAAAACAAAAAACATAGCATACGTTAATGTTGCTGTATTTGACATTTGCCTGCTGGTTAGAAGACTTCTGCAGTGGTTTGCATGTGTCAAATTGTACAAGTAGACTTTAAAAAAGGAAATAAATAAACAATGTTCTACTTAATAATTATAACAGTAATCATCATTATCATTAATATTATTATTAAAGTATCATATAAATTAATCAATAAATAATGAGGTGATTTATTAAGAAATTAAATTTTATATTTATTAGAAAATGAAAAAGAAATCCTACTTTAATATATTTAAAGCATTAACGTATGCTATGTTTTTTGTTTTCACACTTTGGAAACGTAATAAATTAGGCTTTTACATAATAGTCACAGCTGTGTTCAAAAAGACAACATGGTTTTCAAAGTGAACTGTGAAGGGAGCACAATTGTAAACATGAGGATCGCTAAAACTGAACTTTAAAAATGCTTTAAAAACATTATTCTAAGTTTAAAAGTAAGAATGTTTGTAAACAAATAGGGCATAGGGGGATAACTGGGATTGTACACAGCCAGGAACTCTGTTTCTAACTACAGCTCCAGAGGTGTAGTTGCAAGCATACACGTTTGCGACGCAGTTTGCGAATGTTCGTTGTAACAACAGATTTAAGAAATGAATCAACAAACTATGTTTGTCACGACGCAACTTACGACTTTAGTTGCCTAAACATAGTTTTCGGAAACGCGCCCCTGATTGGTAAGCTTTCATTTTATGTATTTATTTTATGTAAGTTTTGAGACAAAACTTACCAAACATCCAGAACAATGTTGTGTGCTGGACTAACTGCACTCATTGTACCATGCGTGTACTCATGGTTTTAATTAACTTTCTTATGAATAGTTCAAAATCGTTTAAACCCTGGTTCAGACTACATGTTTCAAACCTTTAACTAAATAAACAGTTGTTAATAAACAGTTGCAGTTAAATAAATCAACGGAGCACAATCATGCAACAGAACTCAAATAAGCTCGAAAGAAACAAAGCTTGAAAGAATAAATGATCTTAAACTCGTCTTTCTCCATCCAGGAGTAGACAAACTTACTTTTTCCTGTTTTGCCGTCTGTTTCATTCTATGTTTTCGCTGCATGTAGAGAGCGTCACATCACATTCTCAGATTTGATGCAAATTATGTGACATCACCCGGACAGAGGAGCTTGGCCAGACATGCCCTGGCCTGAACCAATCGTGTGGATCGAGCATGCCGTTGATAATATTGGGAGGAAAATAAATATATTTATGCTTTTTTGGAGTCACTTTAGACAACGCTTGAGCAAAATTGAAGACCTTGTAAAAATGCAATTAAGACTTTTTAATGCCTTTTAAGGGTCTTAATTTTTTCATAATTGATTTATCAACTTTCAATATTTTAAGACCCCACGAACACCCTGGTAGAGTGTCCTAGTGCAGTGCTTACCAAACAGGGGGAGTCCCATTCCACAAGGGGGCATCAGCAAGCTCTGTGGGGGAGTCGCCTCATATTTTAAACATTTATTAGCAGTGGACAACCAGGAGAATGATCATGTTGCCTTAGTTAATTTTATCCTCTAGCTCAGTGGTCCTCAACCACTGTTCTGTGAATCAATTGGTACCAGGAATCTTCAGTTATTTCCATTTTATTTATTATATTGTATGAGTCTAAACGATCTTTTCCCTGCTGAAAAATCCAGCTTTACCCAGCCTAGGCTGGTTTAAGCTGGATTTTTTAGCAGGGTTATTTTGAAAAGTCTTTTATTTTGAAAAATGACCGAACTCTCGCTTACATCTCGGTCACTTTAGCACCCAAATTTAACCCACAAGTAGCAAAATGAGTAAGAAACAGACGTCTTTGGAAAGTGTCTTTGCTAAGGGGAAAAGACCCAGTGAACGACCCAAGACCCAACTGCCAAGAAATGGATTTGCATCCCAGTTGTCAACAAATCAGGTGAATTCAGCATGGCTCTGCAAGAAGATCAAATGAAGCGAATGACAGCGGCCTTTTAGGTGCCGTACGCATATTGCGTATTTCTAGAGTTTGCACAAGTTTGTTGTGTCCAATGGAGGTGCGGGGTTTGCGCGAGCTCACCATGAGTCACGTGACAAGAATTTACCCATCACCTTCAGCTTGTATGGAATATTCATATTTTGGTAAGATTAGTTTTCTCAGTCAAACACAGAACACACCAACAGTGCAGTGCTTTGTACTTTTCTCCATAAACAAAACTTGCATTAGAGTGACAGCACTGTTTTGTCAGCTTGTCATCCTCAGGAAAAACTATTGATGGTCGCCTAGCAACCTACGAAACATCGAACCCCCATCCTATTGTCAATTGTCTGCAGTGATTAAAAAAGTTGAGGACCACTGCCCTAGCTGACCAAAAATGGACAAATTTGTAATCCATTCTCCAAAAACAAAGCCAGAGTCTCACTGATTCGCCTTGCAGCAATCCTCACACTAATTGATAGAGCATAACAAAATGCAAGTATTAAATTGTAACAACCTATATTATTTTATTCCCTTATAAACCAGCGTCATTCATTCACTCATTTTCTTTTCGGCTTAGTCCCTTTATTAATCCGGTGATGCCACAGCGGAATGAACCACCAACTTATCCAGCACATGCTTTACGCAGCAGATGCCCTTCCAACTGCAACCCATCTCTGGGAAACATCCATACACACTCATACACTAGGGACAATTTAGCCAACCCTATTCACCTGTACCGCATGTCTTTGGACTGTGGGGGTAACCAGAGCACCCGGAGGAAACCCACGTAAGTGCGGGGAGAGAATGCAAACTCTACAGAAACGGCAACTGACTCAGCCGAGGCTCGAACCTAAACCAGTGTGAATACTGCTATTTTCATAATAGAATTTCAAATATTGCCAATTTAAAGGCCAAATGCTTACTTTTTTATAGTTACAAATGGCCTATTAATATTTGGCTATTATTTTTTTACATTAGGCTATCATTTGTGCAAAAACATATCTAGATATAGAAAGAAACATTCCGTTTGTCTGGAAACATTGTTTGTCATCCTTACTGCAAACTTCTATGAGCAATAATATCATTAAGTGTGAAGAGGAGCCTTACAGTATTTTCCAGGGGTAAGGGGGTCTCAGGCAAAAAAAGGTTGGAAACCAGTGTCCTAGTGCACAACCACAGATGCCATGTCTGCAACGCTTCAAATCATCAACATAGAAAGTCTAGTATGTTTACATTTTTCCTGGTTTTCGTCACATGTACACAGCTTTTAAATGAGAACTTGAAAACTAAATTGACCTAGATATTGACACTTTTGTCATCCGTTGAGTTGCTTTAAAGCTAAATCTTTTTTTTTCATCATTGATGAAAAGTCTGACCTGCAGGTCTCTTGGTGAGATTGAGGCAGTCTGCATGGTAAACTTTAGGACAGCCTGGTCTCTTGCAGGACACAATCTGTCCTCCGTCTCCACAGCTGAAACACTCATCCTCTCGCTCCTTGATCACTTCCTGCTGGGATTTGCGCTTCTTCTTCAGCTTACGGCCTTTATCGTCTGATGGAGGGTTGTTCTGATAGACAGAGTTGATGTGTAACTATAATCACTTATTAAAGCAGAAACGATTGCTGAATTTGAATGCTTTGTTAAAAAAAAATACTAATACATAATAATAATAATAATAATAAAAACACTAAAACTATTTCTTTTTGGAATGCTTTGGAAATAAATCTGTTATATTTAGAAAGACTGCATTTACTGTATTTAAAATACAGTAAAGCTGAATTTTTAGCATCATATTTAATCACACGACTCATCATTATTAGCTATTACTGGTGCTCTATAATTAATATTGTTCCACTTTTTTTTATCAGTTATGGTACCTCATATTGTGTGAAAACCATGTACAGTACATTATCATTCACAAATATTGGGTTATACACTGTGTCTTTTAATAAGGACATGTTTTAACTGATCAAATGGGAATCCTATTTCAAATGAATGTTTAACTAGATTTCTATTCATAATGGAATCCTTATCAAAAATGACAATGTTTATCAGATAACATTTTCCACAAATACAGCAGGAAAATAATATTGAACAGGTCACCATTTTTCTCAGAAAACATATTTCTAAAGGTGCAGTTGACCTGAAAATTTTCTGGAATACTGGTAACACCAAAGGAAATCCATATGTGCAAAGAAAACAAATCTAATTAGTTTAGAAATTAAGATGTGCGTGATAAAATGAAATGAGACTAGGGAAAAAGTATTAAACACATCAAGAAAGGGAGGTGTAGAAAGACAGTCAAAATCCAGACAGCAGCTGAAATGTCTTAGTAGTTATTCAGCAACCTTCTCCCCTTCGTCATTGTAAAAGAATACGGTGCATTCGGAGAGTATTCATAGCGCTTCACTTTAACAAAACAAATTATGTTAAAACCTTTGGATTAAATTAATTTATTTTCTCAAAAATTCTACACACAATACCCCATAATGACAATGTGAAAAAAGATTTTTTTGAAATTGTTGCAAATTTATTAAAAATAAAAATACCTTGACAAATCACATGTACATCAGTATTCACAGTCTTTGCCGTGAAGCTCTAAATTGAGCTCAGGTACATTCTGTTTCCACTGATCATTCTTGAAATGTTTCAGCAGTTCAGTATTTATTGCTTGTGTCATTTTATTGTTATTACACATAAATAATTATTTTTTTATTTTATTGTTATGTTTGTATTGTTTTTTTGTTTTTTTTAACCAAAAATCTGGTTTAACTCCATGACATATCTCTTTTTGAAATATTATTCCAAGGAAAAAACATGGTGTTCAATACTTATTTCCCCACTGTAAGAACATTCTTCCTTTTATATTATTATTATTATTAGTAGTAGTAGTAGTAGTAGTAGTGGTAGTAGAACTGTTTAATAATTTTTTTTTCTACACTACTTCGAATAATACATCGGAATCTAAAGAAAGGTATTATTATTATTTTTACTATTGATATTAATATTATTATTATTCTAAGAAAATGATTGACCAAACCATTTATCAATTTTTATCTAGCTAAGACAACAATAAACTACAGATAAAATAATCTCTGTGCATAATCTCCTTACTTTCGGCCTCACTCCCAGAAATCCACTGCAATTAGATGCACCACACTTGCAGACAGTCTTTCCATTGCCCAGACACTCAAGGTTATAGTTGAATGTTAACTCTGTGCCTGTGAAGAAAACATCAGTGCATAAATATTAGTCCTCGTACGAGACACTTTAAAAGAAACGTAATGTTATCTACATAACGATGAGTTTGACTTACCAGCAGGGATATCTGTAAGTGAAAAAAGCCCAACACGTGTGTCTCCATTGACTGTCCATTTTTGAGTCTCGCAGTTTGGCTGACAACAGTGGTTCATAAAACGGGCTTCATTTCCCTTGGGACCGGCGTCAATAATTCGATCCTTCCAGAAAACACAAAGAAATCTGTTCAGCTTCCCATAAAAGACTTTTAGAAATTGTGAGGTACTGTTGTTTTGTAGTTTTAGAATCTCACCTTGTCCAATGTAAGCATGTAGAAATTGCCAATATTATTCTCCTGAGCATGTTTAATCCGGGCTCTGCATTCTTCTTCATCAATCACCTCTCCAACATATTCACTTATAAATCCGCCCTAAAAGAAGCACTTATTTAGAAATCAGACCAGAAAATCTACAGCTCATTGTATCCACATCCACATAAGATTTCTGAATAATAATATTAGAACACATAGTAATTGTAGAAATGTGTATAGGAAAAAATATAACGTTCAACATTAAAGGGTCACGAAACACCAAAACACATTTTTTTTGAGCTGTTGACAGTCATATATGTGTCCCACGCTGCTGTAAACACTATTAGGACACTTTCAGCAGTTCCTTGCATCCAATATCTCGTTTGTGACTGGGGCATGCATGAAATGTTCCTGAATGAAAGTGAAAGTGCCAAACTGTAGTTAAAGTCGACAATATAATAATTTGGTTCATTTCGATTACTGATGTCCATGTGAACGTAGTCACTTGGCCCTATCATACACCCGACGCAGTGTGGCACAAGGCGTGGCACAATAGTCTTTTGGTAGTTTCAGCTTGGTGCAAGAGTCGTTTTGAGGCGTTGCGCTACGCTGTTTAAATAGCAAATGCATTAGCACTCATTTGTGCGCCCATAGGCGTTCTGGTCTAAAAAGGAAAGGCGTTCTGAGGCGCACTGCTGGCGCGTTGCTATTTTGAGAAACTATAATAGATTTTTCATAAGACCAAAACTAACCCGGTCTAAACTCCAGCGCAGAGAGGCGCCTCGCTTACGCACTGCTTAATACGCACAAGAGAGCAATAGGCAAATATCTTTACATATGAAAAAAATGTAAATATTAAGGATATATATATATATATATATATATATATATTATATAATAAGAGTTGATATAGGATATAAATATAAAGGATTAAAATATTACAAAACATTATTTTCTAGCCTACATAAATATGAAAAATCACTGCTTTTATGTCTTCATCTCGGGAGGCTTTTTCAGTTCATTCATAACAATTTGCTTTTCTAAAATGTTATTATTATTAGCAGTATTATTTAATATATCCATATTTATATTTGTTTTATTAAAAATAAGCTTAGATTTGCCCACCTGTCAGGTTTTAGACCATATGGGGCATGGCAGGTGTATTTGGAAATAACTCAGCATTTTGACAACACTTTCGTTTGCTAGAAATTAGAACTGAATTTAGAAATAGTTTTGAAACAAATCTTTGCGCTTAACAAACGAAATTAATTATTTATAGACTAATTGATGGCTGTGCGTAAAAGTTTCCCTATCCAAGAGCGAATGTGAAAGTAGATCTATTATCTCTCATTCTCATGCAGTAGATGCTCTGTTTAACAGTTTTCTGTTAAAAAACTGTCAACTGTTAACTGTTTGCTTGTGAAATGCTAATTATTTCCACTTAGACTTACTTTGCGTCCTGTAAATAGTAAATGCGCTCTTGGCGCGACGCAGCTGGCTCTTAAAGGGAATGGGAGATGAGACTCTAATTGGTTTATTCTCAAAACACACCTATAACTCATTAAGAAAATAAACTCAACCCTTGTAGACCATGCGCCTTGGCGCAAAGCGAATTTTCCCGTCCGTAAATTAGCAAAAATGCGTTCTGACACGCCCTGAAAGCTTTTGCGCCCTGCGTTTTGCGCATGGACCGTCAAAATAGAGCCCACTGTCTTTCTCCCCTGCGTCTGTGTGTTTGTTTTGCCCCGGTGAAAATCAGCGCATGCCCAAACAGAAACTCCCATTTTTATGCAAAACCTTCACTCTTTCCCTCCTCTGACACTCCGATCTAAACAGAGCTAGACACACCCACTTTCCTGACTTTTTTCAAACTAGAGGTGGCCCTTTAAAAAAAGTCATGGATGCCCAGGTTTATTTACTTTAGAAGAGTTTTTGATTAATTAATTAAAGGGAAGAAAAAAAATCTAAACAAAAATGATGACAAATTTGATGACAAAACAAATAAGATTTTCAGTCTTTTTTACAAACATAAAATGACACAGACATTATATGACACTGACTGACTGCATCAGAATGCAATATCATGTATAAAAAACAATAATATACTTAAAAGAATAAAAATAATATAATCCACTTGACTATTTTTTTTTGCTGTTCATTCATTAGATGAACACATCAAAATGCACACAATCATATTTTTCAGTCACGTTACTGGCATATTAGACTTGTGGTGTAGGGCTTGACAACTTCAGAATTATGAATAGTTGTATTGGGATATCATCACTTTACTGTGAATAAACAAACAGTAATTTAGTAAGTGTAGTCAAGTCCACCATACCAAGTCTATACAAAACCAGCAGTAGACCTACACATAACCCTAACATCATATTGTTGCAGAATCGAGAAGAAAATCGTGTTCTTGATTTTAAGTAAAAAAAACAAATTGTGATTCTCATTTTAGCTAAAATTCTGTTTTGTTTCAAGCCAAAGGCAACAACGATTAAGCAAAATTAACAATGATACTATGATTTTTTTGTTTCACTTAATCTATGGCATTTTTTCTTTCTTTGATGGAGTTCTTGCTGCGGCGCGAATGGCACGAATTGCGCAAATGGCACGATACGCGCGAATTAAGCGTTTTGCGCATTTGAACTCTGAACTCAAGCAGACTTTTGGCCGCTTTAAACAATCAGGAGCTTGCTCTTGTGAGGGCGTGATTGTGATGTAGAACCTCATGATGGTGTCCCGGGGAAAACCCTCCAGTCGACACTGACAACAAGTCATCAAACTATGCTGGGCTCAGTCAGAAGCACCGCTGAAAGCTTCCATCATCCAAGTTTCTGGCGGAGTTTATGAGCTCACAGAGCTGGATGCACCTTTGAAAGTATCTAGAGGACTCAGACACAGCCCTAAACGTATCGACACTGTTTTTCAGCCTTCATAAAGAACATAAAAAACTGTTATTTTCTCATAAAATCCATATTAGCCATTTAGCAAAGAAGCTATAGTCATCGGGCAGACAGAAGCCCTGCCCATCATGCAAATACGCATCTGTTCTGAAATAAATTTGGCGTGTCAATGAAGCAAGAAAACTCAAATGTTCACGTGGCTGTTTATGCGCGAATAGCGCGATTTATCTGCACGTTTCGCGTTTGGTGTGAACACAGCATAAGAGTGCATCACTTTCTTCACCATTTTTAACATTCTTTGCGCTAGGACTCCTTTGTTTTCTATTGTTATTAAGTGACCAAGCATTTTCTTAGAGAATGACAAACTATTTAAACATAGCTGCAGCTGTGATACAAGTTTTATTTATAGAGAAAATCAAAAGCACTGGGTGTTCTGTGTTCACCTTCAATAATTAGTCTACCAAAATTTGTCTATTACATACAAAGTATGACGCTGATTGATCAGTGCTTGTCACATGACTTGCAGTGCTCTTGAGGTATTCTGAAAAGTTACAATGTTTTCAACAAGGTGCGCCTGAAATATGCGAGCATGTTGCGTAGTCAAAAGATACACGTAAAAGACGCGATATGTGAACAGCCTCTAATGGCCCTTTTCCACTGACTGGTACCAAGGGTACCTTTTTGATGGGCGTGGTGTATGACAAGTTTCAGTCTACGTCATTCTCGTCATTCGATATGTTACCAATTACAGAAAAACTACACACAGCATACATTTAGTCCTTTTTGGGTTCAAAAACAACACAAAATTTAGCCCACAAAAAGTACAAATCACTCATCTGTATCTTTAATCTTCACCAGCACACGTAACCTCTGTTAAAAAGTAATTCCGTCAATCCCAGTTTATAACAGTCCAAAAGGCGATGATAAACATGGCAGTTTGTTCATGATTCAGGTTGCTGAAACAATTTGCTCCCAAGTTTTCTCAGGCTTCTCCTTTGTTTTTTCGCGCTTCACTCTTGAGTTTGTCTGTTTCTGGAAGGACCAGACCATGTGCACGTTACTGGAGAAAGTGAAATCGCTCGCACTTTAGAGCCTTTTAGGGCTCGTAAAACAGCAACAGGACACAGCAGATTTTTTTCTTCTTGGCTTTGTGGCTGTTCATCAAGATGACAACAAAGTTTGTTTGAGGTCGGGTCGACCATGGCTTGTTATTATATGTATGTATTATTACTGTGTAATGTCTCGGCTGTGTTTTTAAAAATGGCGCTTCCTTTGTTTTCATTTTCCTGCTTCTGCCAGTGAGGTATCACTGTAAACCAATAGCGTTCAGCTGCGCATCTAGCTCCGCCTTTTGGTACCCTTTGTCCTGCCTGGCACCCTTTGCAAATGGTGACCAAAAAGTGGTATGGTACGGTTTGCTTTTAGGTACCCTTTGACAGTGGAAACAGCCATAAAAGCGTACCAAACCAAACCAAACCGTATCGTACCACTCAGTGGAAACGGGCCATTATAACACTAATATCAGCTCATTAGGTTTTGGAAAAGTGCTGTTTAACTGTTTTACCTTTTTGATGTCATGCACACAGCGCAGCCCCCAGCCTCGAGACAGTGTCCTGAAGGTCTCCACCTGGCAGTACTGGCGTTTGATGAAGCACTGGTTCTGGCAGCGCTCACCTGCGGGACACACCTGTGGGTGACACTCATACAGCAGCATGCGGTTGATGCACTCTGAATCCATCCCGCAAGGGTTCTCATCCGTCGCTTTGCAGTTGCAGCGAGGAATCTCAGAAAGGTCTGCTGAGATTATCAGCACTTTTCCAAATGGTTTGTTTACCTATTGGGATTGACCAAATTAAGACTTTCGTCACCATTTACCACTGAAAAGCTGGATACTTTATTAGGTACACATTGCTAGTACCCGGTTGGACCATCATTCTTTGTAAACAGGATGTTGAAAACATTCTAAAGATTTTGGTCCATATAGATCATGCAACTGCATGCGATTGCTGCAAATTTGTTAATTACACATCCATTAAAATCAGGGTCCAGTTGCACCTGTAGGTGCGCATGTTAAAACTTGGCTTATTTGCAATGTAAAGAGACTTAGTTACAGTTAAGCACGACCAAATAGTTTTGTTCTCATTCTCATTAAAATGGTTGAAATTATTATTAAATTATATCAATGCACTCACAACTGAACTAGGGATCTGACTGAGACACACCCCATGTCTGCATGTCTAAAGACATGAATTGCTGCCAATTGATTGGCTGAATACATATTTGCATTAGCAAGCAGCTGAACATGTGTACTTAATAAAGTGGCCTGTGAGTGTACTAAGCTAGCATGTAATGTACCTTACTTAGACTTCAATCAATCAATCAATCAATCAATCAATCAATCAATCAAGCCTTTATTGTCACTACACTTTCGTATAGCAAAATTGAACCCCCCAGACCACCCCAGACTTGTACCTTAATTTGTTTGTATGGTGGAGGTTTCTTGTCATTGCGTCTGTCCTCTTGCAGCTGCCGCAATTCTTTCTCTGCCTGCAGTTCTTTGAACCTTAATGCAGCTTCATCCAAAGCTAAATGAAAAATTAGATATGAGATACCCTTTTAATTTGAGTACATATTTGAGCTACACCAAGAACTATGCAAAAAAAAACTACATTTTGCTCCTGCAATGGTGCTTGGATGGATGCCAAGACATAGCTATGCACCTTAAGAGGGTCAAAGACCTGGAGGAATTTTACAATGAATCATGGGCTATTTTCACGTTGTCCTGAGACTCCTGCCCAGCTCTGTGCCCAAGGATTCCACCACCCCCTTCAGCCTTTGGAAGAAGCAGGCTCAGCCCTAGCTTTGCTGTGTCCCATTTGCACACTGCACATTTATATGGGCTACACACAGTATACAAGAAGTTCTAAGCATCTTTGTATCTGTTACGGTGATCATCATAAAAAAAAAATGCTGTATACAAACAAAGGTTGGTTTTGGATGCCATTGCCCTTGCGTATATTCTACAGTTTTCGAGTAGAGACGGTTTCCTTTCGGTTACTGGATAACAATGGCCAATTGGAAGAAATTAGCTTGGTCTCAAAAATTGCTTTTGCTTGCTGTGCCAAGGATCTTGGTCAGACTCTAAAGTCAGATCTTGATTTTAGTAGTCATATCAAAGCAGTAACTAAATTAGCAGATTATCATCTCAAAAACATTACAAGAATTAGATGCTTTGTTGATTCATGCTTTTATCACCAGTAGGGTGGATTATTGTAATGGATTCCTAACTGGCCTCCCCCAAACACCCCCCCCCCCCCCCAAACTTGCTTCCGAGGATTCTGAAAAGAACCAGAAAATCAAAGCACATCACACCTCTCCTCAGGTTTTTACACTAGCTCCCAGTTACATTTAAAATAGATTTTAAAATATTATAACTTGTTTATACAGTAAGTCACTAATTTGCCTAGGACCTCAATTAATTGCAAAGATGCTCACTAAATACAAATCTAATGATAACTCAGATCATTAGGATCAAGTAAATTAGAAATTCTAAGAATTCAAAGCTGGGTAAATCTGCATTCAGCTACTGTGTCATTCCCTGAAGAAATCAAATTCCAGAGATAATCAGATGTGCTCCAACATTAGGCACATTCTAATCAAGACTTAAAACAACAGCTGAGCTGTGAATTTACAAAATAACTAGACATGTTCACATTATCCACTAGGTATACATCACCCCAACACATACAGATTCAGCTGCTGTGGTGCTTTACAAACATTTCACCTAATGTCTTAAGACAAAACTTCTAGAGACTGACTGAAGTGGAACATTTCAGTTATGGATGTAACCAGGGCTTTACATTAACACCTGCCAACCCGCCAAATGCGGGTAGATTTCAGCTTTGGCGGGTTAGACAGTCACTCCCACTAGCCACTTTGGCTGGTTGAAAATAATTTTTAAATTGTGTTTTTTTTAAAAGCAGGGTTTGACTATAAGAATGACCCAATATGCGTGCAAATGTGATCTTAGAATGGAGAAACAGCACGACTAAAACAAATTGCATTCGCGCGAGCAGAAGAAAGAAGATGAATACAGAATGAGAGGATAATCACTCGCGCTAACAGCTGATTTGATGCAAGACTGTTTAAAGCGCGTGTGCCTGGAATGCAACTGTTTTCGGATCTCTTTCAAATAGTCAGGCAAAAAGTAATGCTAATGCACACACAGTCTTGCTGCTTTCAAGAGCTCCAAATATGTCTTTTTGTAAGCAGCACCGGTTGCTTTCGCTTTGAACAAATTAATTGGCCTTAACCCTGTGATCATCCTTCCATTATCACACAGTATGTTTTTCACCTGCTTTCTTTTGCTTACGGTTATTTTTGTTTATATGTTTTAATTATCATTTTTTACAACAACTGCTTCAATATGAGATTAACTCTCCATTTATGTGTAGTTAACTGGTGATCTGAGAGACCTTTAGCGAGGACAGATTACTGTGCATATTTTTGATACATGACAATAATTATTTTTAAAAGTCAATTGTTTTTCTTTGTTTTTTTTTTAAAGTAATGTTTTGTTAAATAAAAAGTATAGTATACAGCTATATTTAGCTTTTTTGACACATTTAAAATTTGTGGCCAAGAAATCATTTTTGTTTGGTGTGACCAGAGATAAATTAGGTAAATCTTTAATTTTGAGTTCTGAACAGTCATGTGACCCATTTGCTCATACACGACACACAAAACGTGAAATGAATGAGAAGGCATGTGGACATGACACAAAATCTAAATCAAGTACTTATAGCATGTCAAACTCATATTTCTGCATATAAAAATATTTTCCCAACAACAAAATTGTGGCTAGTGAGAATGCAGAGTGGCTAGTAACGTTGGAAAACTACTAGCCACAGTGGCTGGTGATCAAAAAAGTTAATGTAAAGCCCTGGATGTAACCCTTGTTTACGAAAAAGGGAATTGAGAGGTTATGTCCCGTTGCCACAGAGGCTGAATCTTTATCTTGCAGATGTGCTTTATATACCATTAATTGCGGAAAATTCAGAGTGATTGGTGTTCTAGCAAATCCCTTAATTTAGTACAACATAACATCTCAGTGTTACATCCATAACCAAGACGTTCCCTGTTCCCTGAGCTAAAAATGATAATCTGACCAAAGCAGAAGCTCATTAAAATTAGCAGTACTAAAAGCAAGTACCAGTAATTTGTTAAAAATAAGATACCTTTTTTATAGGTAGAGTCAACTCCCTTTCCCATTTTCTCTTTACTGTTGGCATCACCCTCCATGTAAGGAAAAACACGGGCTTGGTAAGTCCAAAGGTAATCATTAGAGCCAAAGAAGAGAACTGGAAACTCTCCAACATCATGTTTCATGCGCAGGATATTCTCGGGAATGTCTTTGGGATTGCTAACCTCAGCTGGCCACCATCTAACAATGAGCAGAGCAGAAACAGTCACCAAAGTTTAGATTATACTGTAGGCTGGGTGGTAATATGTGTAATAAGCAATATTTGAAAAACGCCTTCGACCAAAGTGTCAGACAGAGTCCCAAAATACACTCGCAGCCCATCAGCAGAAAGGGAAGCGTCTATAACTAACAGACATTTCAAAGGGGGCAAGGTCTTTGATAATATATAGGCTTCTTTGTTTTGGTGTTTTCAAATATCACACTCTAAATTCGCTTAGTGCACTTTTAAAGGCTGGTTTACACTTTTGCGTCGAGTAATCGCCATGACCCACGGTGCCTGCCTTTCGTGCTGTTTGGGTTGCTCTACAATAACACTTCCGAAACACTAGCTGGCAGTAGGATTTTGTGTTCCTCTGTGTAGAGTTTCTTCTCGGGTGTTATGTTTTGTCTAAACCCTACTTTAATGTACAAGTAGCTAAACTTGCTCATTGAGAGGGAGAATCTGTAGACATGCAAGAAGTTCAGTTATTAGGTAAACACAAAATAAAAGTTTCCATCTAGAGCTCATTAACGGGACTCGACACTTGTAAACACTCGCTCCATCTGGCTCACAGTTTTCAGTCCCGCCCACACTCTATACTGCTTCCAAGCCGACCAATCACAGAGCTTCATTGTTGCAACGTATAGTTAAATTTTTTGAGAGGTACTCATCAGTGCTGGCGTTAGAAATCTGTGCGGGACTGAAATTTGATCCCCGCTCCCATGTCCCTGCTGAAAAATCCAGCTTAAACCAGCCTAAGCTGGTTGGCTCTGGTCAACCAGGCTGGTTTTAGAGGGGTTTTGGACACTTCCAGGCTGGTTTCCAGCCATTTCCAGCCTTATCTTAGCTGGTCAGGCTGGGAGATGACCAGCTAAAACCAGCTTGACCAGCCTAGCCAAGCTGGGAGTCCAGCCAAAACCAGCAATATCCAGCTTAAACCAAGCTGGTCAAGCTGGTTTTAGCTGGATTTGGCTGGTCATTTTCCTGGAAACCAGCCTGGAAATGGCCAAAACCTCTCTAAAACCAGGCTGGTCGACCAGCTAAAACCAGCCAACCAGCCTAGGCTGGTTTAAGCTGGATTTTTCAGCAGGGGTTTGTTCACTCGCTGCCCCACCCACCCCGTTTTCTACCCAACCGACCGTTTGCACTAAATTTAGGTCTGGTTTTCAAAATCTCACGTTAAAATTGGCCTCTAAGAAGAGAGGGATAACAGATAAAACTGTTGGTTGTGCAAGGATTGTAGGCTAAATGTCAGTTTTGTTTGCCCCATTGTGATAAGACATGAGTGCCGCGTGACAAGCGGTGAGGTTTGTGGCTGGTGAGGCGCTATAATTCAGCCTTATGGGTGGATTTTGCTGACCTGTAGCGGCCCACTTTAACCCACACCACCTCCTTGTAGTGGGGTTTCTTTCCTGCACGACAGTCATTGCAGTACCAGCTTCCTTCTGGCATGTCGATGTTCAAACACTCTCGGTGAAATGCCGCAGGACAGGACTCGCAACACAGTAGACTACCTCCTGTAAAGAAAAACATACAGGGGAAATGTTTTGAATAAGGTAATGTTCTTTATAAGAAACATTTCCGCCTTTTTTAATATGCCCTATGATGGTTTGAATTATGATAGTGATGAATTATGATAGTGACTTTAGCTACATTGTAAACAATCAGAGAAGAACTGTAAAACAAGAGCTTTATTGGGCCCAATGCCAAGTCTATTTTGTAACCCTACCCCTTCTCCCTCCTCTTAAAACAGAATGTGAATGGCTTAAAAATTTACCCCTAAGAAATGGGTTACCACTACCACACCTGTACAGGTCATAATACTGTATGCCATCGCGATCACTTGCTTCATATGAGATAAGACGATTGTGACTGATGTAGTTATTCCAGTTGTGTTTTTTTTGGTATTTATTTTCAGGAAATCACTGAAATCAGGCATATATTATGTTATTATAACATTCTAATTAAGCAATAAGATTGTAACTATACTGCGGATTTACACAGTGGCCATATTCATCTATGTAAACCAGGGGTCACCAATCTCGGTCCTGGAGGGCCGGTGTCCCTGCAGGGTTTAGCTCCAACTTGCCTCAACACACCTGCCTGGATGTTTCAAGTATACCAAGTAAGAGCTTGATTAGCTTGTTCAGGTGTGTTTGATTAAGGTTGGAGCTAAAATCTGCAGGACACCGGCCCTCCAGGAACAAGTTTGGTGACCACTGATGTAAACACACAAAAGATAGCATTAGCATTATAGCAGACACTGTAAAAAGCTCATTACCAGCCACTAAACTTTTCTGACTGGGTATTTGAGTGTCATCGAGTGTCAAAATGTTGTAGGACTGCTAAACAGATTTTGTTATTATAGATTATTAATAATAACTTTAGCGAAATTCAGGGAGTTTTTTTTAAAATGATGACGGTAAAACAAACACGGTTATGAATATATTAAAACTTGCTATTGCTTATTTGTTGTAAAAATTCGTAATAAGGACAAAAAAATCCTAATTTGTGGAGCTTACTTCCGGGTGTAGCTGTGCTGCCGTTGTGGCTGGTGTATTCTGTGAAATTTTCTTACCCCTTGGTTTCAACTGTGATCCTGAAAAATCTCAGTTTGAAGAGCTATCTACCCCTTCCCCTACGCCTTCAAGCTAAAGAGAATTGAGACACCCCTACCCCTTCATAGAAATGCGCAAAACGAGGGGTAGAGGTAAGGGGAAGGGCTAAGAGGTAGAATCGGGATTGGGCCTTGATCTCACAGTTTAGCCATTAAATAATAAAAGGCAACTTATTAGAATTTTTTAAATTACTTTCAGCAGACCACAAATATCCCCAAAATCTTTTGCGAGTCTTTTCATAACAACATTACAGATGTATACTGAAATGTACTGTACTGTGTTTTGCTTCTCCAGATTATTTTCTCCATGTCTTACACCGTGAACTCAAGAGCTTTGGTCATAGACGCTTGTGATACTAATGTCACTGTATTTAAAAAACCAAGGATACCAGCATTATTCTTATGACAGAAAAAAATAAAGCACCATGTACCTCTGACTCATTTTTTGCTGGTTATGTGAAGTTTATTTATAACTAATTTCGAGAGGATCACGTGCTTATGATTGCTTGCGTCTGGTCCGGCATTGTTTAATTTATGATTCACCAGTCACTCAATTCCTAAGCTACTTAAAATACCCTAAATTCCATATAACAGCCATCTTCATTTAAAAATCCCCTCTTTCACCCCTACTCCTGCTCCTTTCCTAGATGGGTGGCACGGTGGCCAGGTGGTTAGCACTGTTGCCTCACAGCAAGAATGTCACTGGTTCTAGTTCTTACCAAGCCAGCCAATGTTTCTGTGCAAAGTTTATACATTCTTCCTGTGCTCACACCGGTTTTCCTCCCACCTTCCAAAAACATGCAACTTAAGCTAATTGACTAATCCAAATCAGCGCCATAGACATGCTCCTAGTAAGTAGTTATCTCTTAAGAGCAATCACTATCTATTCGTTATCTACTACAGCAGGGGAGTTCTCGAGATCTATCTGAGCTCAAATTCCCCTCTTGCCTTGCAAACAGGAGGGAGCCCCGGGCTCGAGTATCTTATGAGCTCAGGGCTCTCTCCCACAATCAATCATCAGCTAAGTGTGAACTTAACCTTGTTATTTCAGGTATTTGTTCAACTTTTGAATTGAAGTTTCCCAAACTGGAAGTGCAACCCATAATAGGAAATGCTGTGTGTCGTATGCAGGAAAATATGTAAAAAGTAAAGAAAAAAAATATACAGAAGAAACAATGTTCTTTTAAGCTGAATTAAATGAATCATTTCTAAAGGCGTTCATTTAATATATTGAGAGTAGCAAACTGTAAAGATGTTTCAGGCGGCTGAATTAACCTTCTGAGCAGACAAAGCACCAGCTGACGTTGACGTGCTCGTGGTTGCGGCAGCCTTTTCTTGGGGTGAAGTGATTTGGACACACTATGTTGCTGTCGGTGAGTGTGACACTGCCAGCAGGAATGCAGAAATCACTGGAGTGATATGCAACAGGGCATCTGATGCAGCGGGTTAGCTGGCCTGAGACATAAAATACAATGAATTTCATTTTCAAAAACAACCAGTTTTAAAATGTGTTTTAGACGTTGAACACATTCGCAATAATGCAATCTCAATATTAAGGGTGTCACGATCCTCCAAATCCTCGATTCGATTACATTTTCGATTCTAAAGGCACGATTCGATTTGATTTTCGATTATGAATAATTAATTAATTAATGACCAATTAATTATTTGTAGCCTACAGTTTAAACTACCTGACCTGCATGTTCTTTGTTTTACCCATAAACAAATCATACAGTAAATGAATAAAGGCAAGATACACACATAATTACCACCTGTCAATCACTTTTTCTGCGGGACTCGTGAATAGGCAGTGATCTGTGTCGTTATAATGGCGTCGGTAAAAAAGACGCACAACCAACAGGAACCAGCCAACAGTATCTGAGGTGTGCGCTAAAATGACTAAGTACAAGTGAGTGAAAGATTGAAGCAGTCCTCTGACTGCCTGGACCTGCTGTCTCGAGCGCATGGCTGTGTAAGCGTCTGTGTTTGTGTGGTCACGTGATTTCAGAGGTAGAGAGGAAGGAGGGCTGCTCAGAAATACTACATGCCACTGTGGATGTCAAATCGTTGTCGTTCTAAAATGCCTTTTAAAAACAAAGACAGTGTAAACAGGGCCTGAGTGTGTACTTTTCATGAGCGGATTTGCAACTGGGGCAGGCGGAGGATCGCGATAATAATAACGCAATCTACGTGATAACTTTAAACCACCGCAGGGAAATATCAAAGTGTTTTTTTTCCTAGTTTTTTAATGAAGCATGCTGTGTGAAAAACTAACGCTACAGTTTATTTCTATCTGCTCTGAGGTATCATTTTAGAACATGGGATAGAGAAACTGAGTGTACTCATGTGGTTACTTCCTCTCCAAAAAATAACGCACCACGTCACAAGGCTCAACTCAACTCTTGAACACTGAGTTTACTGTTCTTAAATGACCTCTACAGCCATCACACCTTCAGGGATGTGAAGCAAATCTAGAGTAAGTTTCATGTCAAAACAGGCCAAAACCTTTGAAGAATAATTTCAGGGCCTTATTTAATCTATGTTTAACAAGAATTATGAGTTTTCTGAAGGCAAAGGTAGCTTGCACTAGCAAGATATGCATTATTAGATAGCCATAAAGTGTAAATGACCTCAGGAAAAATGTAAATGTAAGCAAAACCAACCTTTAGCTACAGATGGATTGGCAGGGTTTAGGATAAAACATGACAGGCAGGCATGAAGAGGGCAACGAAAGGCTCGGTTCAGAGGTACTGTAGGTGCATGGCTGGCAGCACACTCCCCATGATAGAACTTTCCACATCCGGGAACCATACAGCGCCTGACGTCTTCACCCAGACGCTTACAAGCGAAGCATGAGTGTACACCTAGTACAACATTCACAAAAACAGCTGTCAAAGATATGAAATTACTCCAAGGATGTTGGTTTGTAAATTATGATGCAGGCACTCACCAGACGTGCACTCCTGACACAAAAACTTCCCTGTGGGAGGCTCATTTAGGCCAGTGCATTGTGGGTGAAACGCTCCACAGCATTGACCTTCACACAGGAGAAGATCTCCCTGCTTCTCACACATCTTTAGAAACAAGAGGTCATTGGGCTATTTCTTAAAATAACAAGACTGTCAACAAATGAATTCAGTGAATGTAAACATTTAACACTTTTCCTGCCATTGACGAGATATTTAGTCAATTAAGAGTCAACGCATAGCACATTTTTACACCAATCCATGTTTTAGGGGCATTAAAGGGAAGCCCTACTACATATCCTGAATGAATTACAGGGACTTCTGGATGATCCCAAGAGCAAAATACAAAGACAATCAGTGCATATCAGCTTCCATATAAAAACCAAAGTGATCAGATCACATGCAAAAATGAAGAGCTACACAGCTAAACAGAAGGACATTGATGGACTCCCTCATATTCTTACCATTTTAATGTCAGGATGGAGAAGTCAGTGAGAGAAACAGACTAAACATTCTAGTTGTGTTGTGGATAGATTAATATCCTGTTAATCTCAATCTGTGAGTTGACTCTTTTTTTAAAAAACAATAAACTATTGACCTTATTCTCAAATGCGGAAGTGCGCCTGTTTTCACGATTGTCTTAGAACCTCCGTTTCAGTCGCCTATGGGTAAAATGACAAGGAATAATAAACGGCAAAAAACGGTCAAACTACTTGCTCTACAAACATATGTTTACATGACTATACAGACCAAGTAGAATAATATAACAAGGAAATATCAGTTTGCAACATCAAACAGCGAAACGAGCAGTTTTTAATGTCTAAAATTGAATGAAAGTGAATGAGACCGGAAGTCTCATGCCAAAAAGATTCAAATGGCAGCGCCCACTCGTCTGCGGAGAATAAGGTCAATATACACAGCACTTCACTAAGAGCTGTGTTACAGTGCACCCGGAAAGTATACATAGCTCTTCACTTTTCCCACAAATTTTTTTATGTTACAGCCTTATTCCAAAATAAATTAAATTCATTGATTTCCTCAAAATTCTACACACATTACCCCATAATGACAATGCGGAAAAAAATATTTTTTTAAATTGTTGCAAAGTTATTAAAAATAAAACACTGAAAAATCACATGTACATCAGTATTCACAGCCTCTGCAGTGAAGCTCTAAATTGAGCTCAGGTACATTCTGTTTCCACTGATCATTCTTGAGATGTTTCAGCAGCTTAATTGGAGTTCACCTTTGGTAAATTCAGTTGATTGGACATGATTTGAAAAGGCATACACCTGTCTATATAAGGTCCCAGGTTTGAAAGTGCATGTAAAAGCACAAACCAAGCATGAAGACAAAGGAATTATTTGTAGACCTCCTAGAAGGGATTGTCTCGAGGCACAAGGCTGGGGAAGGTTACAGAAAAATTTCTGTTGCTCTTAAAGTTCCAATGAGCACAGTGGCCTCCATTTTCCATAAGTGGAAGATGTTTGGAACTACCAGGGGCCTTATGCACAAAGACTCGCGTTGAATTTATACTAAGACATTGCATGCGCACAAAGCTGTAAATGTGCGTACGCAGTAAAAAAAAATCAGATCTATGAAACACTGCGTACGCAGAATCCCAAGCATATTCTCTTTGTACATCCGAATTAACGTGAAACTGAGTGCACGAGCGCAAAACGTCTCCCTGCCTCTTCCCCCTAATAAATATGGTAATGACTCTACTTTGGCAAAACCAAACGAAAAAGCAATGACAAAAGCAAGCAAAAAGAGAAACTTCACAAAATGTGAATTGGAGAAAAATTTGCAAGTTTGTTCTACGGAATTAATAACAAAAGAAAAAATAGAGTGGGAAATTTTAGCAGACGCGATTAACACAGTGGGGTCTGAACCATAGACTGTAAAATATATGGACGTAGTATCCGTGACGTCACCCATAGGTTTCTAAAGAGCGCAAAAGAAGCCACAAGTAGGCGCGGCCAACCGTCGCCATTTTGTTCGCGCGTCGTCACACCCACGGCGGGATACCAAACAAGGGCAAAGAGGCGGAGAGTGAGCGGAGCTACAGACACCTGCTGGCATTTAACTTGGACCTGGTTCAGACACACTTTACTTTGGGAGAACGCTTAATACTTTATCACCTGTGACTCGTTTGTATTCTGACCACTTGTGCTTGGTTGTACACTATATCAATAAAGTGTTTAGACTTTTAAAAACACTGCTGTAATACATTGAGCCACTAAACATTGTTCTTATGAGGTTTTTTTTTAACAGGAGGAAAACGCGAATTACTTCCCAACACTTCAGATATAGTCTGTGTTAGTAAATGTAAGACTATTGATGAAATCCAGCATAACACTGTATGACAACGCTTCAGTTGACTGTTCTAGAGCCTACAGCTAATCAATCTGACAGATTCTGAAGTGCATTACAGCTCTAAATATAAATATAAACGATAAATGATCTTAAATAGGACATATACATGTATAAAGATGGTATATAATTATATAACTTTACTCACATAGGAAACGGAGGCCACGTGAATAGTTAGTGAGCACAATTAAGTTCACTCAGCATGCCATGCCATCTAATAATTGTAGGAAACAAGTCCAAAAGGCAGTTGACTGTGTAAAGCCACATAAAACAACACAGAAATACAATAAATATGCCGAGTTCAGTGGCTAATCTGCCGGATTCAGCTGAGGTGACGTTACGGCGACCAATGAGACCTAGCTGTCACTCAAGTGGCCACTCCCTTAATTATACAAACTTAATATAACTTAATATAAAGGAAACGGATGAGTTATAAAAAAAGATTCACCCCCCTCACAGTTGTCATGAAGGGTAATATTAGCTGTATTAACCAAAATCTTTTTTGTACCAGGCTGTAAACACCTTTTTTTCTGCTGTAGAGTTGGCCATTTTAACAGTGGGCTCAATTGAAATTTGCTCTGTTATGGAGCCAGGAGAGGCCAGGACTAGCGGAATTTCGGATGAATTGCAGTTTTAGTTACTTCCGTATTGGCTTCCTGAGGGAGAGCGGGAGGTTGCCGCTTAGTCTGAACATCGCACTGTAAGTGAATTAAAAAATAAATGGTCCGATGGTGGGGATAAAGGTGTACAATTTTGTAGTGTCTATTTAGGCTAAGTGCAAATAGCTAGTTGAGTGATTCCCGCCCACCACCGTTTGATTTACAGAGACAACATAACTAAAGAGAGCGGCAAACAGCAGCGTGAGTGGCGTAGCTAGTAAAGTGCATGGCGACATGTTTTGACTTGATCGATCATGAAACCAGTTTGAAACCAGCATCTAATGAACTCTTTCTTTTTTTTCCCCCACTACATATCAGATTTTGCCAACTCTTTATCTTGAGGAAGACAAGTAGGAATCATTAATAAGTGTGTGTGTTATGTTAAGCGCATTTGAGCATCACATATTATTTGCACATTTATTGAATGGAAATGTTTCCGAATCACTTATGCAAATTCATCTTCAGATCCATTTTGGAATAAGGCTGTAACAAAAAAATGTGTAAAGCGCTATGAATACTTTGTGTAAGCACTGTACACACTGAATGGAAGGTATTTTTCAAAAGCTCGTAATAGGAGCTTATTTAAAGTCTGATTCTTGCTCAAACAGTTGTGTTTTCTTGATTGTCAAATAAAATATCCAAAATGGGACGATAAATGTTATATAAAAAATAGGGGGAAGCAATAACTGCTAAATAATTACAACACAGAGGTTTAATTGCATCAGAACTTCAAACAGCTAAAACATTTTAAGCAGCATGAAAGTTGGTGTAAGAAAGTCTTAACACACCTACCGGACACACATTTTCCTTGACTGAAGTACTGCCACCTTTCTCTTCTGAGAGCCTTCTACTATCCAAGAGTACTTTGTCAGATTGGGAATTTTCTTCTCTTTCAGAATAGAACTCACTAGATTCAGTCATCTGAATGAAATGCCAGGTATTCAAGTTAGTTAATTAAATAAGCTTCTATAGTTCAATTATATGTCTTCACTGAATGCTTTGTAGTAAAAACTTCATCAGATTTCACATTACTGACATGAACAGTAAACAGACTGTGACAAGCAGTGCTAGATCAGTGGCCACTTTATTGCATAAATCTTTCTACTACGGTACTTGTGGCCACAGATCACTATGACCCTGCTGACCATGTAGTTGACTTTTGCATTCTTATGCAAAACATAGCTGCATTGTAATTGACTAATAAAAGTTTCATTAATAGAAGCTGTGTTAATATGCACTTCATCAACACACATTTGGTTGGTTTTGTCGGATCCTTGTATCCCTGTTGGCATCTTTCAGAGCTTGTTTTTGCAGAGTAAACATGTTTGATCAGCACTTGGGAGAATGTAGGAAGCTGGCTAAATATCCATTTAAACATGTGACATTTCGAATCAGTTGAGATGCCTAACAAATCATGATACCATCAGAATTTAAGTTTAATGAATCTTTAAGGCCAACTGTCTTTAGATAAGTTATGTGTAGGGCCAGACGGAATCTGCTGACGTTTTTTGCTATTTCTGCGGAGAATTTTGGTAAAAATCTGCAGATTTCTGCGGAATTATTTTGGGAGTATCCAGCGGAGTATCATAACTTACACTTTAATATATTTAAAAAAAAAAGTAATAAATTACTGAATTAAAACTGAATAAATTCCGATTTACACATTTACTCAAGTAAATAAGACAGAATTTATAATGGGCTAAAAAACTGCAGAATCAATCTGCGGAATTCTGCGGAAAATCTGCAGAATTCTGCGCGCGCAGATTCCGTGTGGGCCTAGTTATGTGGTATTTTCTGTTCACCTCGTCTCTTTAAGATACATATTACAATAGTGCTCATAAGCGTAGAGCTGCTTCGTTAACAGCGTCAACCAAGCAAACACTACATGTTGGCAGTTTAATTTGTGTAATTTTCAATTTCAGTCATGATATTTTATATTTTCAAGAAATATGCAGTAATATTCTATTTAAAAAAAGACTTCATTCTCTGTATATATCTTCAACCTTATTTTCTTATAAACAAAACTGAGAGAAAATCAAATCTTGAAATAAAATTAAATTGTGTGTTGAGTAAATTGTTACATTCCTAAAATGTCTGAAAAGTGACTTGTTGTAATGTTTTGGGTGAAAACAAGGGCTGGATCGAACTTTGCAGATTTTACAGGCAAGGTTCGATCAGGGACAAACAGGAGCATGTAGTTAATCCAAAACGGAATTCGAGATACAGGCGAAAGGTCAAGGTAGGCGGCAAAATACACATTAACAAGACAACAAACAAAGGTTATTACATGGTTAGACAATCCAAAAACGCTTTGTGAGTCTCACTACAGGGAAACACAACTCAGCCAAGATGTGTGTGGTGTGTATAAACAGTCCATCCAGAAAGTATTTATAGCACTTCACTTTTTCCACATTTTTTTGTTACAGAATATTCCAAAATGGATTAAAAAAATTTTTTTCATCAAAATTCTACACAAAATACCCCAAAATGACAATGTAAAAAAAAATATTTTTTGAAATTGTTGCAAATTTATTAAAAATAAAAAACCTGAAAAAAATTACACGTGCATAAGCTGCTCAATTCTTTGTTGATGCACCTTTGGCAGCAATTACAGACTCAAGTCTTTTTGAATATGATGCCACAAGCTTGGCACGCCTGTCTTTGGGAATTTTTGCCCATTTCATTTAGCAGTACCTCTCAAGCTCTATCAGGTTGGATGGGAATCGGTGGTGTACAGCCATTTTCAGATCTCTCTAGAGATGTTCAATAGGATTTATGTCTGGGCTCTGGCTGGGCCACTCAAGGACATTCACAGAGATGTTGTGAAGCCACTCCATTGATAATTTGGCAGTGTGCTTTGAGTCAAGCAGTTATTCATTCAGAATGTCTCTGTTGATTGCTGCATTCATCTTTCTCTCGATCCTGAAGGTCTTACAGTCCCTGCTGCTAAAAAATATCCCCACAGCATGATGCTGCCACCACTATGCTTCACTGTAGGGATGGTATTAGCCTAGTGATGAGCGGTGCCTGGTTTTCTCCAAACGTAACGCCTGGCATTCAATCTTAAGGGTTTAATTTTAGTCTCATCAGACCAGAGAATTTTGTTTCTTATGGTCTGAGGGTTGATCAGATGCCTTTTGGCAAACTCCAGCCAGGGAGTGGCTTCCATCTGGCCACTCTGCCATACAGACCCGATTGGTGGATTGCTGCACAAATGGTTGTTTGTTTAGAACACTGGAGCTCAGATAGAGTGACCATCTGGTTATGGATCACCTCCCTGACTAAGGCCCTTCTCCCCCGATCACTCACCATAGATGGCCGGCCAGCTCTAGGAAGAGTCTTGGTGGTTCCAAACATCTTCCACTAATGGATGATGGAGGCCACTGTGCTCATTGGAACTTTCAGAGCAGCAGAAATGTTTCTGTAACCTTCCCCAGCCTCGAGACAATCCAATCCTGTCTCTGAGATCTACAGACAATCCCTTTGTCTTCATACTTGGTTTGTGCTTTGACATGCAAATCATGTCCAATCAACTGAATTTACCACAGGTGAACTCCAATTAAGCTGCTGAATTATCTCAAGAATGATCAGTGGAAACAGAATGTACCTCAGCACAATTTAGAGCTTCACAGCATAGGTTGTGAATACTGATGTACATGTGTTTTTCAGGTTTTTTATTTAAAAAAAAAAATGCAACAATCAAAAAAAAATTCACATTGTCATTATGGGTTATTGTGTGTAGAATGTTGAGGAAATAAATGAACTTAATCCATTTTGGAATAAGGCTGTAACATACCAAATGTGAAAAAATTGAAGCGCTATGAATCAGGACTGATCTGGAAACTTGTGTATGATTGAAGTGCATAATGGGATATGTAGTTAAGTTCAGTGGCAGATGAATTGTTTGGGTAAATGATAGTGTTCTCTAGTGATCTGCAAAAGCTAGTTGGTGGGTTGTGAATCAGCCAATAGGTCCAATAGGTGATTGTTTTCAGAAACAATTTTTGTTATCCTCTTCTACGGTGACCGGGAAGTGCAAAACAACATTTCAAAGTGTGAAACACTTTTACGAAGCTCTAGACAAATTTACATTTTGGGAAATATTTTTACCTATTATAAGACACATGTACATAGGAAAAACGATTTTACCAGGTATGAAACAAATTTACAGTTTAGAAAAAAATTTGCAAGATGCAAAACACTTTTACTAGTCCTGAAATAAATTAACAATAACTGATTCTTTACAGAAAAGGAATGTACCGCACACTGGAAGTGACACTGTAAAAAATGCTGTTGTCGCTGGTGGTGAGCGCGGTAAATTCATGTTGTGAAGTACATGGCGTAAATTTAGTTTATGATGACCGAACATGGACTGCGGTCGAGGCATGTTTTACCAGTTTTGTGGCAAACACGCGAGCAGCCTAATGTGTTTTTGCATTACGTGTGGTCTGTGTTTAAAGTTTCGTAAAAGTGTTTCACCCTTTGTAATGTTGTTTTGCATTACATTATGTTTCACTCTGCCTAATAAAGTGGCCATGAAAGAGTCTGTAACTGTTTTCAAGAGTTCATTTCACTGACCTGTGAACCTGAGCATCTGAGAGTATCTGAACCATCGTCTGCTGATTCTGTATTGATTGTTTGCAGCACTGCAGGGGAAACGTCTATCTCCATCTCTGTGCTTTTTAGCATTGGGTCAGATGGTGGATCACTGGACTCAATACTCAGCTTATTCTTACTTTTTGATGATTGCTGTTCCACTCCTTTCAGGATGAAATTAACAGAACTTAAATTAACTCAAATAGCAGTCCTTAAAACTGTTCAGAGACAGAAATTTGAAACACCTTGTTTCCAAATATTGCTGGAGAGCTTCAGATCATCAATGGAAGGAAAACACAGGATTTGTAGTAATTTATGATAATTCTCTAATCAAGGTTTCGGTTATAGCCTGTTGCAACTTTCAGTATTAACAGTGCTGGGAGGTTTACTTAAAAATTGTAATTTATTGTTTACTTAATGTCAATTGACCCTTCGCTAAGCCTTGCCCTTAGTTACTGTTTTTACACCTGTCAAGTTTTCGTGCCTGCCACGTCTATGACATTATGTAAGCGCCGGTGTCAGACATTGCCAGGGATATAATCAATAGTTTTTGGTGAAGAGGTGAGATATCTGAGAAACCTAGACAAAAAAAGGACTTCAGTATGCATTACAGGGGCACATTCACGATTTAATAGACAACTGATTAGAAAATAACCGAAAATTTAAGCTAAAGCCTAGACGCCTCATACGCTAGCCATTCAACAGCTTAGTTCATGCACAGCAGGAGAGGGGAAATGTAAAAATAATCTAATATGGACAAATTAAACCATGATTATCTTTTTTAGCCAAAAAGTCTGATAGATTAATTGTTTTGCAATGAAATAAAGCGTTACTAACCGACGAGGAAACATGCATGGACATAATTCATATTTAGAAAGAACAGTCAGAAAGGGGAAATTGATGGATTTGTGCCCTATATTACCATCATTGACCCATAACAATGTACTGTAGCTATAACTGTCAGTATGTTTGTGCACTTTTTATACAGCTTCTATTCTAATTTGCAGTTAAGTGGAAAAAAAATAAACTGAAATGCAAATCAAAGTATAAATAGCAGAAGCGAACAAATATATTTTCCCATACCAGCAAATATTGATCCGACACCAAATGTAAAAGCAGACACTAACCCGATATAACGTCATCACCAATGACTAAATCCCCAAAAGACCGCCTAAAAAAATTGGTGAATTGTAGCTCTGACATGGACATGAGGGATATAAATGACTAAAAAAACAGCTGCGGGTGAAGTATATTGATTGCAAGTGCTCAGATTGTGATCATATCTCTGTTTGGTTCTGTTGATATATTTTAATATTCGTAGCTTGAAATAGATAAAAATATGACTGGATTGTGCTCAATCTTACCGCTATTGCGAGGGTTTAAACGAAGCAGTGCTCATAATAGAGTAAAAAAAGAAAAAGAAAGCTGTGAAACATAACCTGCTTTGTATTTTTGTAGGAAACACAGTTTAGATTTTTTTAGGGTAAGAGGTGTGCGAGTTATTGCCATCTAACACTGTGTCAGGAATATCAAATACAAAAACAACTTAACTACGCTCTTTTAGAGCCCCTCACAGAGCTTGATCCACACTGGAATACCTCCCCTTGGGTTTTAGGTTTTAATAAGGGAAAAAATTTCTACCGCCTGATCAAACTTTTAAGATACCGGGTATTTACAATAACTTGACAGGAGGTCTGTCAAGCGCAACACTTGACAAACCTCCTCCGTGTAGCTACGGTTGCTAAGCCACGATTAGTGTGTGGCGGTTTTCAGGTGTGGCTTAGCGAAAGGTCGGTTGAAGTTAGAAAAAAAATCTAGAATAATTTTTTTTTCATTTTTTGTTTCATCTTTTAAGTTTACATTTTTTTTTCAATTTTATTTTTTTTGTTTAATTTATCTTTTTGTACCATATTAATCTCAAATAATTCTTTGTTACATAACATGTAACATATTAAACAATACATTATGCCAAGTTTTTCCAAATTAGGAGTTTGGGAGTTCTTGTTTGGGAATTAACACATTAATAAACATGAAAATGGCCTTACATGGCCAAAGGCCTCCGGATTGTCAAAATGTTTACAATCCGTAATTAGTAAATACCACCAGATATGATGAAGACATAATATAAATCATGGTTGGTAATCATTCTTTCACTCATTTTCTTTTTACCTTATTACCTTTTTTAATCTGGGGTCAACACAGCGGAATGACCCGCCAATTTACAAAACATTTGTTTTACGCGGCAGATGCCCTTCCAGTCGCAACCCATCACTAGGAAACACCTATACACACTCTGTCACACACATACACCACAGTCAATTTTAGCACAGCCAATTCAGCCAATTCACGCTAATTGTTTAAGTATTGTTCATTATTACTTCATGCTAGTAAATACATTAACTATATTTACTTATTATTTTTTTGACATGGACATCACATATACACTGGAAAACCAAATGCATTTGCTTTAGTTTTTTAGCAGATTTGCTAAATCTCAACACCTGTCCAAAGGAGGCTTGACAAAATGAAGATATAATAAATGCATATACACAAGATTATAATTCTTTACATAAAATTACTGAAGGCAAAAGCAAAGGCGGCATGCTTCAACAAACTAATAGTAGAAGATTTGTGCAAACACTGCAGTTTTAATCACTTTTTAGGAACACTACTAAAAACATTTATATTACTTTCTAATTTGAGGCTAACAGGTAAATAATTCCACAATTTGGCTCCCTCTACAAAGAAAACAGATTGACCAAATGAGGTCTTACACTTTGGCACTATACAGTCACCATTAGCAGTTGCTTGTGTGATTATCAACTAATGAAACCTTATTGTAAAGTGTGACTAATATTCCAGATTACATGTAACCAGTTACTACCCAGCACGACTTTTGTGCTAAATAAAACCATTGCATAGTATAAAATATGTTATTAAGAATCAGACATAACTCTTAACATGTCATGTTAGTGGCTGTGATATCCAAGAATAACTTTTAAAGCAACCATGCATTGTCCGTAAAAATTAACATTCTGTATTTTAACTGGATTTTATTGAAAAGAAAAATATAGTTTTGAAAGCTCTCAATTGCCAAACCTGAATTTGTAGAATGTCCTGATGAGCAAATCTTCATCGACTTCATCTGTGAATGATAATGCAGTTATCCCAATATTGCTTTGTGCTAAAATCCTTTAGGTCAAATGTGAATTAAAATAAATATATATTTTTCTGGCAACAAATATTCTTTATCTAGTTTTCCACCAAAGTGAAGTTATAATTTAAACAAATACCTTTCTTTTAGGAATGAGAATTGGTTCTGCTTCAATGGAGCTTTCTAAAATCTTTTTTGTGGGTTTGCGCTGTCTCTTTGAGTTTAGACACACACTGTCACCTATTAAAAAATTATTAAAAATCAATCACTTTCGACTGTTATTTCCCCGATACTAAGAGTCTTGAATATGATCATGAAATATAAAAAAAAATAAAAAATGTGGTACTTAGCAATAGGTCTTCAAATTATAGGCCACTGCATATGGGACCCTGAACCACTTTGTTGCATAAGCCTCAAAGTCAAAGTGCCTCCCAACAAACATTATAATATTAAGTAAAGATCATGTTCCATGGTTATATTTGGTAAATGTCCTACTGTAAATATATCCAAATTAAATTTTTGAGTAGTAAAGTGTATTGGTAAGTAGGGCTGCATGATTCTGGCTAAAATGAAAATCACGATTTTCTTCACTTAAAATCAAGATCACGATTTTTTCACAATTCTGTAGATAAATGAATAAAGAAAAAAGGTTAATATGAATAGGCTAGGTGACGCAGTAGCGCAGTAGGAAGTGCTGTCACCTCACAGCAAAAAGGTCGCTGGGTCGAGCCTCGGCTGGGTCAGCTGGCGTTTTTGTGTGGTGTTTGCATGTTCTCCCTGCGTTCGCATTGGTTTCCTCCGGGTGCTCTGGATTCCCGCACAGTCCAAAGACATGCGGTACAGGTGAATTGGGTAGGCTTAATTGTCCGTAGTATATGAGTGTGTGTGTGAATGAGTCTGTTTGGATGTTTCCAGAGATGGGTTGCTGGTGGAAGGGCATTCGCTGTTTAAAAACGTGCTGGATAAGTTGGCGGTTCATTCCGCGGTGGCGACCCCGGATTAATTACGGGACTAAGCCGAAAAGAAAATGAATGAATGAATGAGTAGGCTATTATTATTGTTATTTCTCAAACATATGGTAAAACAACATTAAAAATATAAGGCTTATGTGTAGGTCTACTTTTAATAAAAATGCTAAATGTTGCATGGACTTAGATTGGTGGACTTAAACAGACTTTAAATATGCCCTAGTTGTTAATTCACAGTAGTGATGACATCAACTATTCATATTTCTTTTGTTAAATTATGTTTGAGACATGTCATTGCTTGTCATTTATCATGGACAATATTATTATACAACTTTTTTCACTGGTAAAATAAGACATTTTGTCATTATCAGATTCCCTCTTGCATTATATTCGACAATATATAGGCTAGAACTGTTTTACTGACACGGTAAAACACTTATTTTAATGCACAACTCGTTATGAAAGAAAAAAACATATTAAATTCTTGTCACGATCATAACTGACCCTAAAATGTGATATGATCATTTAAATGATGTGTGTATCTGTTTCACTTGAAACTGCAGAGTGTGTTCATGTCATGGCTGTTGTCACTCTGAGAAAAAAAAAAAAAAAAACATACATGCAAATCATACTTCTCGTGGCTCTGAGAAACTCTGTACAACAAACTGAACACTATTTACAACTTTATTACCAGTTATTTACAGCCTATGCAGGTTCTGTTCACTAATGTGAACATGGCCAGCAACTGCACGTGTACTCTCTGAGGTAAACAAATAGTACTTTAGCTCATGCGTGATTTCGTGGCCGTAAATAGGTCTTTATATTAAAACAGAAATGACACTTTTGGGTGAATTTTACCTTATAAATAAACACATTTGGGAGACACATTTAACACCATTTGGAGGTGTCCATGTTGCTGAGCAACGAACATAAAACAATGTGAAGACTTGTGCGCCTGCCTTTACGCTTCTCTCTTGACCTTGAAAATATAATTGGCTGAATCCTAAAAAAGCTGAATTAAGATTGTGTGTAGGGTCAAATCGAGATCACTTTTTTTTTTGTCAATTAATCGTCAGTAAGTCAGTAAACTAAATGTGTTTGTGTGTGTGCACACGCACAAACATTATAAAGACAGTGACTACGTTTACATGGACATCAGTAATCAAATTATTTGCCTTAATGTAATTAAGACAATAATAAGATTAAGGTGTTTACATGAGTTGCTTTTTGAATGTTTCTTTCATGATCCTGTTTTACATGTTATAGCACATAATTAGATTAACGTCATTGCGCTATCTGCATTTCCTCCGGAGTTTCATGCAATTTCGGGTGTTTCATTTCAATTTGTCGACTTTAACTGCGGTTTGGTACTTTCAATTGGGCATGCCCCCAGTAACAAACGAGATATTGGATGCAACTATGAACTGCTGGAGAACTGTTGTTTTAATAGAAGTTCATACCGCTTGCTGAATGACAGAAAAAAAACCTCCGCATTTCACAATGCAGGTGTCTGTGGTCTGCACTGACACGGTAGGTGCAGAGAGTGTCAAACAGCCGTGTGTGTGTGACTATACCATCGCAAAACGCGGCGAAAAGCCCTACATGATGGTAGTAGTTCGATTAAGGTCTTTACATGTCTGTAATGCACTTCAATATTGCGACAAAAATCGGCATACTCCACATGTCTTAATTTGATTTCTCTTTAGTTCAATTATGACCTTAATCTGTAGACTCTTAATCAGGGTAATGCTCATTCACACACATACAGTTCGGACAATTTAGCTTACACTGTAAAAAATGGCTGTGATTTCAAAGGTAAAAAACAGTAAAAATGCTACAGTACAAATCCATAACCTGGTTAACGGTATGTTTCCTTAATATATACGGCGAATAACCGTAAATTGACTTTCCCAGAATTCCCTGCACGGCACATAACTTTTTATGCATTTGGTTGACATTAATATGGATCTTTTTAGTTGTTTTACTCATCAGTTATGTACATTAGAGATTTATGTTACATGTAATATTGATAAACAATGTTTATTTCATTACTTTAATTTTATGCGTGTTACCACACTGGTGTTTAGTAGCTGTGTGAATGACACTAGGCACCTTCTATATTCTGATACTCTTTTTTGCTTGTGGGAAAAGTTGATTGTGATGAGGATTGGCTCATAATGTAACTTCCTCATCACCACCTGCATGTGGGTGTGCTAACATATCTTTTGTTACACAGTTAGACATGTAGATGTTGATCATTCAAAATACAGACATATAACGTCTATAAATTAATAAAATACGGTAATTTACCGTAAAAATGAAAAATTACTTTTACGGTTTGTATCGTGTTTTTAACGGTAAAGTACTGGCAACCACAGCTGCCATTTTTTTACTGTAAATTTAACGGATTTATTTTTTACAGTGTACCCAATTCAACTGTACCACGTCTTTGGACTTGTGGAGGCAACTGGAGCACCTGGAGGAAACCCACGCGAACGCGGGGAGAACATGCTAACTCCACACAGAAATGCCAACTGAGCCAGCCGAGGCTCAAACAGCGACCTTCTTGCTGTGAGGCGACAGCACTACCTACTGCACCACCGCGACACCTCTGCCTTTAGTTTCTAGATTTTCTAATTGCTTTTATATTTTTAATGAAAAATATTGTCCTGTCTTTACAAGCAATCCATCTATGGAAAGTTTATTTGTTTAGCTCATATTCAATGCATAAATCTCAATATAAAACAATTATGACTTCATAGTTCTTTGGTCCAGGGTCACATATGGCAAAAAAAAATATTTTTATGACTTTTTTTAACATTTGTTTCCAATAAAATGCATCATCATCAATCAGAACTTGATAAGAGAATACTCACCAACGGCTACAGGATTTTGTCTTTGAAGCTGGTCCCTATTGGAAATATTATCACATGGTGATGGGATTATTTCTGGAGGTGGAGTCAGCGTTTCTGCAGACAACACTTGACTCTCTTGACATGGTAAGGTGTTTATTAAAGGAGTGCTTTGGGACTGGTCTTCTGGAGGAGGAGTTTGTAATTCTGGCAGGCGTCTTGAAACATCTTGTTCTGTTACCTGAGGTTTCTGTTTAACTTCATCATATGTTTTCGCCACTGGTTCACTGCATTTTTGGTTTTCAATCTGTTCATAAGTATAAAAAAATCTTTGTCAGAAAGTAAAAGCAGATTATGGAACAAATGAAAACTTGATTAGCATAAACTGAGCTACCTTAGTAACTGAGTCAGGTTTCTTTTTTGCTTTCTTCTTAGCAGAAAACAACTGATCGTATTCTTCTGTCCATTCAATGAGTCTTTTACTAGGCTTTCTAATTCGTTTGCATTCTGTGAAAAGCATAACAATTTTTGAGCCCATTTTAAAAGACAATATTAGATTATATTTGCATTTGATAACCTTACCTGTTGGGGCTTCAGTGTTTTGACAGTTGCCTTGATTGCATTCCAAGGCATTACTTGTAGTTTCAGGTCCAAAAAAGCAAGACTTGTTTGTACCATCCATTGAAACATCACAATTTTCTGAAGATACTCTTTCAGTCTTGTGAATACAGTTACCTTCGACAATGTGAACCGTTTTTTCACTAACTTGATCAAACTTCTGCCAACGCTTTTTGGGCACGTTGGCTGAGAAATTGGTTTCTGCTTCTTTTGAGGTAAGTCTGTGTGCAGATATCAGTTTGTCAAATGATTTGTAGTCGATGTTTGCTTTTATATCAGTGGTTTTCTTTTTCAAACTTATTTTTTTGCTAGATCTTTGAGCGGTTTTCGAAATAGTAGAGGCTAGGTGATTTTCTGACATGACGTTGGTCTTCGGTTTAACCTTCTTCTGCTTGGATGTTGCTTTCTCATCCTTCACATCTGAAATCAGCAACGGCTCCTCATTGATAAGTTCAGTTGTGGGTAATGGCTCTACTACTAAAACATTTCCATCTTTTTCGCGGCTATCGTGCATATCCTTGAGCATCATCAGGAATGTGCTGAACTTATAGTTTGAATCAGGATGAAATGACAAAGGCTGGCCACTGTGTTCATTTGCTAGTGACTTGAAGGATATTTCGTTCATGTTGTCCATATCTTTTAGATTTAAGTGCAAAGATGGAGTAGGACTGGAGGATAAATCATTAACGTGACTGTTTTGTTTTCTTGTGGATGAATGAAAGGCACAAGGTGCTTGAGATACTAAAGAAGATTCATCTTCAGATTTGACTGAATGCTCATCATCTTTACAACATAAAAGTTCTGAAGACAGCTTTGCGTGTGTGCTAATTTTGGAGTCTTCTTTCAGATCATGGATTGCAGCAGTTGGCATCTTCTGTAAAAGGATGCTGTTGTGTACATCAGATGTTTCAAGTGACGGAGAATCAAAAGAAGATACACAATTTTTTGTTTCAAGATCTGAGCTTGACTCCTTCGTCCACTCTGCATCCTCCATTGCCTTCAGTGCTCTTGTCATAAGGCGACTACTTGCTGGAAGGCACTTCACTCTCCTATCTAAAGCTTTCTTGGCTTCGGTAGACAGATGTTCAAGTCCGGTGTTGTGATTGTCCTTGGGTTTCATGCTTGCAGAATCTGGCATCTTAATTTTACAAGATACCTTTCCAAAAGAACAATTCACAGATTTAATTCCAGCACGACTAATACCATTAACTTGACCTTTACCAGTTTTGCTGAACCAAAGGCCACCTTGGTTCTCCACATTCTTCTTTACGTCTTTGTCATTTGTACTGGGAAGCACAGTTGGGGTTGCGCTTGATTGTTTATAATTAATAACGTAGTGATTGGATATCTGCTCGTTGCTTTTGGGAAATCTGCGGATCTGTGGCACAGAATCAATGTCAGAGTATGGACTGTCCAGGGCATCCATAATCATACCCTTCTCACAATTAAGTTCCTCAGATATTCTGCAGTGTGATATAGTTGGTTTCTTTTTGTTTTTAGACTTGCGATTATGTGGTAAGCTGTTCAGGTGGTTGTTTTGTATAACTGCTCCATTGATAAGGAAACTGCTGTTGGGTAAATCCACTGGTACAGACACTTTGATTTCAGTGTTATTTATAGTTTCTTCTGAGATTGTTTTGAAGGCTGAGGATGGAGAAGTGACCCTTGGTTTCTCCAGTAGAAGTGCTTCAGCTGCGACCACACTAGCACTCCAAGAGTTCAGAAAACGCTTGGGTATCTGCAAAGCAACCCAAGAGTAACAATTTCACTAGGGTTTTTTATAAAGTGTCACAATATCCATTTAACTGTAAGGATTTTTTTGGAAAATTACAGAGTGCCTGGTGTTTTCGTCTCTTTGGTGTCCACTTCCTTTCACAAAAGGGAGATTGTTAAACTGATATCCACCAACAAATATATGAGTAGATCGCTCGGGAACCCATGCCTGTTCTTCAGGTTCCCCAAATGTCTTGAGGAAATACTGACGAGTTGTTCTATCTGGTGGCTCTGTAACACACATTTAAATAAAATATAAGGTGGGACAACAGATTTGTAGGTGGAACTTGCGGGAATTTTTGTTTTTGTGGCTGCATTCTTACCTTTCATTTTGTGATAAACTCCCTCAAGAGGGTGAATGATCACCTGACATGGCCACCATGGTCTTCGGTTAAATTTAGCCCATATTACTTCACCCTCTAAATATTTCACTGGCGGTAGAGCCTTTGTTTTTGATTTTTTCTTCTGCTTCTAGACATATAAATAAGTTTTGCTTAAAATACAAATGAATGTTTGCTGTAATTCTGTGTTTGATGTCAACTGGTTTGATGTTTTAGCATTTAATGAGTATAATGTTATATACTGTATTATTGTATAACTTTACAATTCATACTTAAACATTTGAGTCACAAATCTTTGCAAAAATACATGCAGTCAGACTGAAAATACAAAAATAAAACCACACATTATTTCACAAGCAAAAGTGCAGTTTCAAAAATTGCTAAAGTGCATCACTTATCTTTTTTTAAAACTTATTTTTAAAGCTATATTAACATTTAATTGGAATATGCAACACCTCATTCACACGGGGTGTCGGGGGTAACGCCTCACTGACGCAATTGACAAAGTGACGACAGCCAATCCCCTCCAGCTTGAACTGTGATACAAAAAAGACACAGAAGTAGTAGTAGTAGTAGTAGTACTACACTGCAAAAATGCTTCTCTTACTTAGATTTTTTTGTCTAGTTTTGAGTCCAAATATCTCACAGTTCTTAAATCAAGAAGAATTTTCTAGACAAGCAAAACATATTGCCTTGTTTTCAGCAATAATATGCCAAAATTAAGTGAGTTTTTCTAAAAACAAGCTAAATAATCTGCCAATGGGGTAAGCAAAACAATCTTGTTTTTCCTTTTGACATAAGATTAATTTACTTACCCCATTGGCAGATTATTTTGCTTGTTTTAGGAAAAAACTTACTTAACTTTGGCACATTATTGCTGAAAACAAGACAATATGTTTTGCTTGTCTAGATAATTCTTCTTGATTTAAGAATTGTGAGATATTTGGACTAGAAACAAGACAAAAAATCTAATTAAGAAAAGCATTTTTTGCAGTGTAGTAGTGGTATATAAAGATAGATCATTAAGCACTGGGTGACTTAAACTGTTATAACTTGTTTTCCTCCATTTTGAAATACTGCTACTCTTTGGTGGTGCATGAAATTGATTGACAATCATCCGATTGGTTGAGGCCTACATTGGCGTTTATTCAACTTTTGTCGCAAGCAAGGGATCCAATGCAACGCGACAGATCCAGAATTCATTGAGAAGTATAACTAAAAAGCGTTAACTTCAACACCCAGTGTGAATCGGTAAGAATGGTTTGCGACAATAAAGGAACCGAACCAAAACTCACCATTAATACCCCACCAGGTCTGCTCACAAGAGTAGAGAGCCCACTATCACTTTTAGCCTTGTCCTGAAAAACCACATCTTGCTCCAGGGATGAGTGAGCCTTTGAATTTTTCCTTCTAGACTTGCCATCCAAGTTTGTCTTTAAATTTGTATTTGTTGTACAATCGCTCGTGGAGCCACACAAGTTCCTTTCTGGCTGAGACACTGGCTCCGGATCCATAACTTCATCCTCTTCCTCATCTTCAAACAGAATTGACTCAAAGTGTAGTCCATTTGCAAACGGACTGGATGAGTCCAGACTAAAATCAGGGCTTGGTGGGGATGTGCAGATGTCAGACAGACCTGCATCCATTTTGAGCAGATGTGTCAATAACTCTGGCTACCATACACCCATCTGAATTTCTCGTACATACATCGTTCCATAAGGCTCGTGTGTCCCTATCAGGGAGAGGCAGGTCCTGATCCTCCAGGGTCAGATCTCTAAGGCGTCTCTAGGAATGATAAGTGAGTAAGCTGCAGTGCTTAGATTTTAACCCACAGAAAGATGAGACAAGAGGAATCAGGGTCAAAGCCAAGTGTCTGTTTGTCTGTTGACAGGTGATGCTTTTCCATCTACTTTCTAGCAGATCTGGCACCTGTGGATGAGTTTACTGAGAGAAAGGACATATTGCCCAATCACACTGGCATTGTTCCATTTTCTGAAAAACAAATGTAAAGAAATATAAGCATATGCTAATAATATTAAAACAATTATATAAATTGTATTTATGACTGAATCCTTTATTATTACCAATAAATTTATAATAATAGTTGCAAAACCCTGTGTAATCTGATTTTTTTCAGCCTCCTATTTTCTTTCCATTATTTCATTTTAAAGGGAATGAAAAGAACCAAACCTTTGCCCTAAAAGTGAAATGACTGAACCTACTCACAGAAGCCTGAGACAAAAGCTAATTTTCTAGTTGTCACTTAAAGGCATTTGCATCTGAATTCTTTAGTTGTAGTAATACAGGAAAGCTGCCAACACTCATCCACAATTGTGGTTAGCAGTCATACAACTTTGACCTATATTGTGATCACTTTTATTTAGATATAGATTTATTTTTAAAAACATAAAAAGACCAAACAAAGTTATTTAATAGTAAATGCTTCTACAAGAAAAAAAATGTTAATTTCTGCTGAACTTAAGTCAGGATTTGGCTTTTTTAGGACCAGAACAAAGAGCCCCCATACAATTAAACTGCTTTTCTTGAATTGAATGTTGAATTCAAAAGCAAATCAGTTCATAAAACATGATTAGCTTTCTTGCTCATCCAAAAGATCTCAAATTTTAGACAGGTAGAAATGCTCTACTTGGATGAGCAGTAGCATCCTTTTTTGCTGTCCTGCCTAAAGTCCTGAAGATCTTTTAAAGTTACTGTAAGGTGTACTTTGTAAATAAAAAATTTAAAAAATCCAGAATTATATAATATAATATCCTTTTCCAATCTGCCAAACAACAAGTAAATATCCAACCTGATTGCACTGCAAAAAAAAAATGCTTTTCTTACTTAGATTTTTGTCTTGTTTTTAGTCCAAATATTCAAAAATTCTTAAATCAAGAAGAATTTTCTAGGAAAGCAAAACATATTGTCTAATAATAATATGCCAATATTAAGCGAGTTTTTCCATAAAACAAGCAAAATAATCAGACAATGGAGTAAGCAAAATATATCTTTTTCTTTGACATAAGATTATTTTGCTTACCCCATTGGCAGATCATTTTGCTTGTTTTGAGGAAAAACTCACTTAATTTGGGCTGTTATTCCTGAAAAAAAGGCAATAGGTTTTGCTTGTCAAGAAAATTCTTCTTGATTAAGGAATTTTCAGATATTTGGACTAAAAATAAGACAAGAAAATTTAAGTAAGAAAAGCTTTTTTTGCACTGTGTAATCCCATTATTTAAAACACCCACTAAACTTACTCTCTGTATATCTGGTGATCTTGACATTTATATTTGAAAAGATACATTTGTGAACTATTTTATAAAAGAAAAGCTACAAATTGTATTTGTCTATATATTTTTTTATATAAATACAATCTAGATATTAAATTGAAAATGTATTGATGTATCTGATTTTTACACAAAATTAAACTAAATTCCTCAAAGTTTTCAGCACGACTGTAGGTTCGGACGGGTTTACAGTAGTAGGGCCAGTATGGAGAGCCATTTCGAGCATACTCCAAAACATAGGGACGCAGCAATGAAAGCGGCGCACATATATGACAGAGCCAAGCATGAACTCTGACACACACACACACAATTCACACGAAGTAGTAGTATAAGATTCGGCAATGACATACATGTGCAACCCCTAGCGCTGGGTTCATTGCCACGCGTGCTAATCTCATTAATATGTATATCTTTGTATTTTAATACTATGTATCTCCGGGTAAATATGCGAGTTCACACAGGGTTACGCCTGTCTTTTCGTTTAAAAGACAAAAAAACAAACAGAATGTTATACTCAAGGAAACACCGCTGAAATCTTACCATTTGCATGTTGACAAGTGTCATTCATACTGAAACCACTTCGTTTGTGCGCGTGAAATGACCCCTTTTCCCAAATTGTGAAAGTGGATCAAGAAAATCCCAGCCGCAGCTGCAGTAGTAGGCCAGAGAACCTGAGAACACATTCACGCTACCATCACTCTCCAGCCCTACAATATAAAAACACAGCAAAGACATGCATTATAACACTCACGCAGAGAGCAGGCTTCCCAGTGCGCGGTGTCTGAGTCACAGCGTACCTCCGCTTTACGATACGGACGTTGTACTTTTCATTTTCAGTGATTATGCTTTCCTTGCTGTCGACCTGCTCCTGGTTCTGTTTCAAGCCCGTGACTGTATGTGTCTATGAACAGCAGCCAATCGGCACAGCAACCCAGCCCCCTGTGAGAGGAGCTCTCCTCAACTCCTGTGCTTCACTTTATCCCCAAAACACATCCCAATAAACGCTCAAATGCATTTTTAATCGAACATTTCAACGTCTTTTCAACATTTTCCCCAGTTATACGCGCTTTTATAACGGGTTGACGTTTCTGCTATTAATTGACAGCATGTTTCATTGAAGTGATATGACAGAAAATTCTGAAACAAACATAAGTGTTTAACACAAACATTAGGAACATTATTTAAATACGCGTTTTGATTGTAAGTTCAGCGCTCTTGTTATTCAAGATGGAGTCTGCCGTGTGCTGGCACAGGCCACAAAGTGTTAAATTTCGATTTTGAAGTAAGCCTTTATACATCCAAGAAGTTGTAGCTCGCCTTTCAACGACGCTTTTTACATTGTGTTAATGATAACATGCCTCGCGCTCAACGTGTTCTATGCGTTCTGCAGTGTTACTCCATGAATAATGGCAAATTCGTGTAACGTTATATATATATGTATTAGAAGAGGATGTGCGTAATAAACAAGGCACAAACATCGCCAGCAACGCGGCTTCTCCGTCTCATTAAGTCACATCTTCATAAAATGGCATCGAATCTGTTCATTCAGGTTATATTTGGGCGTGTGAACAAATACACCGCGGGTTTGATTTCCTGCTTCTGCCGTTAATAAAACAATTCTGGTGAGAGAAAATGGAGGAGTCGGACATTATGCCGACGACTGTGCCAAGGATTAATGTCGTGCGAGTTTGGCATTTGAGCGATTTAAAGCGACGAACAGATATATTTTTATCCCATTTCAATAAGTGGCAGCGATAACATGTATTTGGGGTAGTTTGCAACATGTCTGTTTCAAATCCTGCATAACTCAAAACTGTTCATCGTCCGGTTAGGGATATTTTAGGGGATGGCGTGTTCAGGGCTTGGGGACTGCCGTCGTATCCACTCGACGCAGTTAAAGATGTTTCTCTCTGTCATCTTTAAGGGAAATCTGCGAAAGATGTCAACACTGGCGTTGAGCTGAGAGAGAAAGTGTTTCAGAGCTGTCTGTGGGCCTGCTGTTGCTGTTTTCTGCTTCGCCTGAACAGCGCCGCACCTGACAGAAAAAAACACACCCGGGGTAGGCTAAGTTACAGCAGGAAAAGTACACGGAATTTGCGGACGTTTTTTGCTATTTCTGCGGATAATTTTGGTAAAAATCTGCGGATTTCTGTGGAATTATTTTGGGAGTATCATAACTAAAACCTTAACATGTGAAATATTTAATATTATCTTTTTAACTTTTATTTAATATTTAAAATGCAAATTCAATTAGATCCACTTTATTTGGTAAACAAAGCAAGTCCCTCATACAATATATCTACTAAAAGACAGAAAAAAATACTTTGCAAACTGTATTGTACATCAGATGAACATTCATATAAGTAAATATTACTGTAATTAATAACAAATACTGTATAAATAGATTTACACACATTTACCCAAGTAAATAAACAGAATTAATGATAGGCTAAAAGTTTGTGGAAATCTGCGGAAAATCTGCAGATTTTTAGCCCATCGTTGATTCTGTTTTTTTTAAATGCGTGTAAATTCATATTTATTCAGTTTTAAATTAATTTCAGTAATATTATTGACTAATATAAAATATTTATATGATTTATTTACAATATAGTTTGTAAAGTAATATTTTCTGTGTTTTAGAAGATATATTATATGAGGGACTTGCTTTGTTTACCAAATAAAGTGGATCTAATTGTATTTGCATTGTAAACATGGTTTTAGTTATGATACTCCCAAAATCATTCTGCTTAAATCAGCAGATTTTTACAAAAATTCTGCACAGAGATAGAAAAAAAATGTCTGCAAATTCAGTCTTGCCCTACTTATAGCCTAAACATTCTTGTGAAAACATAGGGCAGAGTGGGGCACATTTTTTTTGGTTTTGGCCAAATAATGAACAAATTAATGGGGTTAGATAAAATATAACACACAAGCCTCTCCTGCAGTGCATATGTGAATGAGTGTATGAGTGTTTGTAAGGTTGCAGCTGGAAGGGCATCTGCTGTGTAAAACATATGCTGGATAAGTTGGCGGTTCATTCCACTGTTGCAACTCCTGATAAATAAAGGGAAAAAGCCGAAGGAAAATTAATTAATGAATAACCCTTTAATAAATGTATATATCAAAAATATACTGCTCAAATAATAAAGGAAACACTTGGAATTGCTTTGCGTTAAGTGTTCTCTTTATTTTTTTGAGCAGTATATGTCATATAATGTCTCTATTTTTAACCTTAAATCACTTTTAACATTGAATATCTCATGTTGGCCTAAGGCAACGCAGTGGCGCAGTGGGTAGCACGTTCGCCTCACAGCAAGCAGGTTGCTGGGTCGCAGTTGGCGTTTCTGTGTGGAGTTTGCATGTTCTCCCTGCATTCGCGTGGGTTTCCTCCGGGTGCTCCGGTTTCCCCCACAGTCCAAAGACATGTGGTACAGGTGAATTGGGTAGGCTAAATTGTCCGTAGTGTATGAGTGTGTGTGTGAATAAGTGTATGTGAATGTTTCCCATGGGTTGCGGCTGGAAGGGCATCCACTGATTAAAAACTTGCTGAATACGTTGGCGGTTCGTTCCGCTGTGGCAACCCCAGATTAATAAAGGGACTAAGCCAACAAGAAAATGAATGAATGAATGTTGGCCTAATGTGTAATAAACAGTTATTCAAGAGTTCACACTTAGATATTGCTTGACAGCTGTAAGCAGGTTTGGCATGCTGTCCCGGGAGAGAACCCTGAGCTCGGAGATAGTTGAGCCCAGGGCTCCCGCCAGGTCCATAGAGCATGTGAGGGAAGTACGAGATCAGGTGGTTCTCGAGAGCTCCCCTTTTTGTAAAGGAGAAAAGGAGGAGAAAGGGGGTGGATGGGGGGTTTCTTCAAAAAACGAAGATAAGGGAGTAATGTCTAGCTAGGCTACTTATAGTGGGTTAGGATAGATCTGATTGGCTAACTAATGAGTGTAGATAGGTGGCCAGCTGCAGTCAATTAAATCACGTGCTTCTCTCAAAATTAGTTTAAAAACTTCACATAGTTAACTCTTAAACAAAAGTGCTATTGTACTTTTTTTTGCCAATTTGAAATAATTCTATTAAATAGTAAAAAATAAAAATGATTTATTAACAATTTAATTATTTTTGAATGAACAATTCCATTATTAAAAAATGTGAAAATGAATTTAAATGATTTAATTAGCAATTTCACTGTGACAATGCATTATTCCTGTAAAAATGATAAATAAAATAAAGCTGGGTCTATTATTTTAATGTTTTTATTGCAAACATAATTTTTACAAAACATTTATTAATGCTTTAGTTCATTCATTCATTTTCTTTTTGACTTTTTAGACCTTTATTAATCAGGGGTCGCCACAGCGGAATGAACCACCTACTTATCCAGCATATGTTTTACGCAGCGGATGCTCTTCCAGCTGCAATTCATCACTGGGAAACATCCATACACACTCATTCACACACATACACTATGGCCAATTTAGCTTACACAATTCACCTATAGCACATGCCTTTGGACTGTTGGGGTAACCAGAGCATACGAAGGAAACCCACACGAACACGTGGAGAACATCCACACAGAAATGCCAACTGACCCAGTCGAGGCTCGAACCAGCAACCTTCTTGCTGTGAGGCGATCATGCTACCCACTGCGCCACCGTGACTCCCTAATGCTTTAATAATGCATTCTAGTGATCATTACTTTTAGAAATACTTAAATACTTATAAACACGTTTGCTATTTTAGAAGTTTAAAACAATACAACAAAAATATTGATATTAAAAATGTAACCCAAGTCTATTTGAACAGTACATAAAACCTTATTTGTACTCTTTAATATGTTAAGCAAGGCTGTAAACATTAACCTGCTTTGTTAATCCTTTTTATCTTTCGTCCAGAAATCAAAATCTAGCTTTAAGTCGGTTCATAAACAAACAGTATGGAGCCAATAATGTGCCAAAACAATGTAAAATTGTATTGTGTTAATTTGAATTGTTGACAATTGTAATTTCATAAATGTCTGTTTTTATATGCTGTTAAAAATTGTTTTGAATTTGAATTTCATCACTTGAATATTGAACATCTGAAACTTAGGACAACTGAATTTTTCGATAGAAAATAATTTTTTTATAGACATAATTGAAAACTTCAGATTTTTTGTTTTCTGAATCATAGACTGCAGATATTGGGTTTGTAAATATATATATATTTTTAAATGAAGAAATTCAGAACATCAAATTCAATATTCTATAATTCAAAACCAAAAATTCAGATCGCAAAATTCAGATTCAGCAGAAAGTAGGCCAGGGGTCATCAACAGGGAAAAGTAGACGTTCACCGAAAAGTCAAACTAAGCATTTTGGCCACTCACAGGGATCTTCCACCTTTAACAAAGTCACATTTTTCAAACATTTTACAACTTTTCAAGCTCTTTCCAGGTGCATTTTTTTCAAAGTGTCCCAGCATTTACAACTGTGGTAAATAACATATTTGCATGCAAACACTTCTTCATGAAATTCAAAACAATTTTTAACAGCATATAAAAATTCAGATTTATTAAACTACAATTGTCAAAAATTCAAATCAACTCAATTCAAATTCAGATTGTTTTGGCATATTATTAGCTCCATAAAACCCCAACATATTATGGTGCCAGAAAGACGCCACTGCACCTTCAAATGGTATGAGTCTGTGGTCGGATGAAACAATTAAATTCGATTTTGGGAAGCAAGCACACTAGATTCAGTTGTATATTGGAAAATAAATGTTGGAAATGGTTTTGCATGGGGCTGCCAGTTGATTGAATCAGAATGAGTTATTTTGCCAGGTACTCATACATGGAATTTGTTTTCATGACAGATGTTTCACAGTATAACAGTGCAGGACACAACACAGATGATGATGAGAACA